ATCGTGACCAACTTGCTCTAGTTTTTGCAGCTTTCTCCAATGTTGCCTGCATTCGACCTGCTTAATGAAGAAATAAGGTCGTATAAAACATACAAACCATAATAATCCATAGTTTATTTTTATTTTTTTATTCAGGCGACACTCTGAACGTTCCCGACAGTATAACAGGACTTACGATTCTCGCAGCTGGTACAAGTCTCCCTGAAGCAGTTTCAAGCGTTCTCGTTACTAAACAAGGTTATTATTTTAAACAAACTTTTATGACATAGGTTCATAGCATATAGAGATAATGCAGCATGATTGCTACCTTGAAAGACAAGGTAAAAGTCCAAGTGCTCTTACTGGTAGTAGGACCTCTTGTGAGTCCGCACGGGTAGGTACCACCACCCTGCCTATTTCTGTCGTGAAGCAGTAATGCGTTTCGGTTTGAAGGGCGGGGCAGCCGTTGTAACTATATTGAGACCTTAGAACTTATATCTCAAGGCGGGTGGCGCATTTACGTCATAGATGTCTATGGGCTCCAGTAACCACTTAACACCAGGTGGGTTCTGAGCTCATTCCCCCTATCTAAGAAGCAAAAAAAAACCGAAATATTCATGAGCCACCTAGTACTTGACCGCTACAGGAGTCCAAAGTTTTGCACAGAGGAGGGAACATCGTAGACAGTCGCTAACTTGTTATTTCAATCTATTCAAGGGAGCTACTTAAATCACTACTAATTGATTATCTTATAATGACTCAAACTGCTGGATAGTGGTAGCGGATTGGGGTAATAGCTGTGAAATGTCAGAGAAAATGACGATCTACTATGTGCACTACTGATGCAACTATTACACCCTAACCAGAGTAACCTAATAAAACTGTAAAAGGGTTTCATATCCGTAACACGAACGCTATTATTTATTACAATCTATATACTACTGAATAGTTTAAAGCACGAAGATAGTTCTCAAATATATGGGTAAATCAAAATAAAATGAAAAATTAATTATTCAAGTAAAATCTTATCTTCGATTCGGAATACAATTTCATCACTTAAAAGAAACGACAAGGAGCTCTGGATTTGTTCTTTTTTTAATAAATGTGAATTATACAGGAAATTCACAACATATTATTCAATTAGTGCATATTATAAAATCGAAATTAAATACATATAAAATTTCAAACAGGATAAGTAGGGTATTTTTTCTACTTATTCGTTGGAAGCTTAAGGGATCATTCCAGCTACGCGCGGACGGGCTCCACCTGAGAGATTTTGCTAACACTAGCAAGAGCAGTGCTACACAAAATCTATCGCCTGTTTGGAATCACGACCCACTGAGAGGCCCCGGTGAGAAACTCAGTGGGTTATGTCTATGAGTAAGTGCGCTCGTCAAACTCTTGGACCGGTGCTTGACGACCTTAGCGGAGGTCACGATAAGAGTGTGTTATAATGTCGCGCCGCTTTGTCGAAGTAGAGGTAGGACTGTGCTACCAGCCAAAGCGATATTCACAATATGACTTTGAATCAATGCTTAAGACCAGGTGAGATGAAATATTGGACCAAGAAAGTTATAATAAAGGCAGAAAGGTTGTGTGAGAAGAAATTCAATGAACACACTTTTTAGATTTTAAGCTGTAGGTAACCAGCAAAAATTCGTCAGCAAACAATATTAATAACAATTCATTTGATTTCTAGGGCACGGCACAATGGGTATAAGCAACTCAATTGGATCCAACACATTCGACATATTACTGTGCTTAGGACTGCCATGGCTAGTGAAGTCATTGTTTTATCCAAGCACTCCAGAAAACCATTGGGTAACTGACTTATACTTTATACGTATCAATAATGGGTAGGGCTATCAAAAATCGATATTAATCGACACAAGATTTTTCAGAGGCTTTCACTTTTGAAGGACTCATGAAGAAATAACTTGCTAAAAACTTAAAAGCATCATGATTCATTTAGCGTCGGATATTATTATCGCATATGATTAAATATTTATTTTATTTTATTTTATTTTACAGGTTACAATAAATTCTAGCGGTCTGTCCTACAGTGTAATCTCACTTCTATCGACTTTATTCGCGCTGTACGGATGTCTTTCACTCAACAAGTTTCAATTAGATTGGAAGGTTGGCATTACATGCAGCGTTGTATATGCCGGTTTCTTAACTTTGGCTGCTTTGATTGAGCTCAATGTGTTTTTTGTTGTCAATCTACCTGTTTGCCCACATTAATATCAATTTTTTTTATTTAAGACTGCATTTTGTATTAAATCGACTGAGATAACAAAAAAAAATGACAGCAATGTGTAGATTGTTATTGATTAATAAATTGATTCTGTAGAAAACTATTTTTTTTTAAAAGAACTGATCATAAGACTACATGTTTTATTAAAGTGATCGATTTAAGATTTAAACTTATAAATAGCGATAAAAAATTAGCATATACCATTTGTGATTAGTACTTAATAAATATTTAATCTCTTTTAATAACTTTTGTTTAATTTTCACTATCTAATTTGCAACATCCTGTATATCACTTTTTCTGGTGAGAGTTTCAATAGTAATTTGGTCGACTGTGCGTCGATGCCTGGGCTGCAACTTTGATAGTCGAACCCACTAAGTAATCCCTTCGTCGCTGGTACACTTAAAAGCCTAATGCACACGAAAAAGGTGTAAGGCTAGCGCGTGTTCTATTGTGAGTCTTGTCACCTCCAGCGCACAGGACGCCATGATGACGGACCTCGACTCTCTCGTTCGAGGGTCTCTGGATGCCAAGTTTTTTCAAATGCTCTGCCGTCCTTGTTTGTATGCGTCTCAGACTGCGCTCGCATTGAAAAAATGTATTTGTAATCCCCTAAGAGAAACTATGCGGCGATACCATTCTATAATTATTTTTTGTAAAAACAAACTTGTAACGTGTTTATGTACTTAAGAAAATCTCATGATTGTTAACATAAGATCACAACAAAAACATTAACTTTCACATGAAGGCGCAACGTCTCGTAGTTTATAGTTGTTTATTTATACGATAAGTTATAATGATGAACAATTTACAAATTAAACGTCATATAATTCTATGTACCTATATCTTTAAATCTACTTTAAATTTACAGTACATGATTTTTTTTTATTTATTTTTTTATTGCCAAGATGGATGGACGAGCTCACAGCCCACCTGGTGTTAAGTGGTTACTGGAGCCCATAGACATCTACAACGTAAATGCGCCACCCACCTCGAGATACAAGTTCTAAGGTCTCAGTATAGTTACAACGGCTACCCCACCCTTCGAACCGAAACGCATTACTGCTTCACGGCGGAAATAGGCGGAGTGGTGGTACCTACCCGTGTGGACTCACAAGAGGTCCTACCACCAGTGATTACGCAAATTATAATTTTGCGGGTTTGGTTTTTATTACACGATGTTATTCCTTCACCGTGGAAGTCAATCGTGAACATTTGTTGAGTACGTATTTCATTAGAAAAATTGGAACCCGCCTGCGGGATTCGAACACCGGTGCATCGCTACATACGAATGCACCGGACGTCTTATCCTTTAGGCCACGACGACTTAAACTAACATTATCTAACATGTTAAAAATAATATGAAGGGTTTAATTTGTTCCTTAGTTTTCCAAGCGTTTGCAAGACCTTTCTACACGTTGAAGATTCAAGGAATATCCGACCAACAACAAGGTTTTAACTTCGACTTGCATTTTTTCAAGTTTCAAAATTGATAACGCAGGTTTTAAAACTTGTGTAAATTCCATATCCAAGCAGAATGAAATTGTGTTATGTTATTATTAGGTTAGCTGAATGTCATAATTACAGAACAGAAACAAAAAAATTGTGTAACATTTGTACTTTTTAAATTATTACGTTACTTGTAAATCGTTCAAAGGAAAATGTCATCCATTTTAATAAAACAAGTACGATGCTAATATTATATGCGTAACGAGAACGCGACAAGCGTAATAGTTTCATCATAACACATAAGACGTTCAACTTTTCCATTCCGACGCGTAAAAGTGCTAAAAAAGAATATAATCGGCATCTGCAATTAAATGCCGCACGCAAACTGTCTCACGCAAATGTACAATATGAAATGACGAACATAAGACACGACCAACTATTTGATATCATTGTTTACATGTGTCCGAGCGTCTGTCTGTAACTTTAAATAATCGATTTAAATTAAGTGAAACTATTAGCCAATTAGTCTATAATATATTGAAGGCAAAACGTCAAGTCATTAAAATAACTAGACACACACAACTTTTTCCTTACAGTTTGTAATTCATTGTTTTTTACAGCAAAAAACACTTTGTAATAAACTACAAAATCTGTGTTAAACAGGATGCTTACCTATATTCTGTGATCTGTATGAAACAGAACTAAAACCGCTCCCAAAGCTGAAAGACATTAAATTACTAATACGCAAAAGTGAGACTGCTGGACACATTGGTCATTTAGATCTTCCTGTATGGCGCAGGAATATCAAAGATAGAAGTAAAGTCAACGTCATTTAGATCTGGTCTTGGGGACGCCTAATCAAATGCTCTAAATAAATTACAACAACAAGACTTAACCGTTTGCCAACAAATTCTGAACTAGTTTGGACACGTTGCTCGTATACACCTAGATACTCTATTAATACTTTTTATAGTAGTGGGTAAGGTCGAAGTGAAGTCACCAAATGAAATTCCGCACAGATCTGCCTATATCAAATTTCGTATGGCTTGATGGATGAATCAATCTTGCAAAATTCAGTGTAGAGACAACATTCTGTAATGAAAATAAAGACAAAGAACAAGAAACAGGAAACAATATTAATTTACTACTCTAGGTAATCGTAAATAGTACACGTCCCCGCATATCGTCAAATTCCGCTCGTCGATGGGGTTTTAAGGCATGCGGAAAAATAAAATATTATTTTATTGACTGTGTGTGTTTTTAATGGCATTCACTAGTTTCTATAAAAACGAATCGAAAGAAAACTAGAGTTTGTTTAATTATAACAAGCTTTTAATTTAAATACAAAATACATACACCTTATTACTACAATTTAATACTTATTTGTCAATACTGTCTGCCCTAAAACTTTAACAAAAATTTTATTATGTGGTTTCTAAGTTTATTAATTATATGGTTTTTTTTTAATTTAGTGTAGTAATTTGATACAAGTATGTAGCTTAAAATAAATTAAATCATAACAGACAGTAGACAGTTATCAATCCACTATTTATACAAATTTAATAACTGAACAAAAAGAGGAAAATCGGAGTCCACCATTTTTTTTTTATTATCTAGGGTTTCGAGCATACTTATTTTCAGTTACAAATTATTACTAATATATCAAATTTATTTAGGTATTATCGATTTGAAGAATCGTTCCCAAAATGAAGGCCGTCGGGTGGTTGTGGTATAAATTAAAGGTACAGGGGGTATACAAAATTTAAACGGTTTTCGCGGTTTCATCACGAACGGATAGGGATGTAAAGCTGGCGATGATGTCGTCCCTATGAGACTTATAGTGGGCCTTGGAAACTCTAATGGAGAACTTTTTACTACGTGACTTTGACTGGCGCCTCCTAGGTAGATAATAGGTATAGAACTATGTCTCATTGGCCTTCTTGGACGTTTAGTTGATGTGGGTCTAACAGTAGAAGTCGTTTCAATGATTTCATGAAATACGGAATCATCATAATCCCTGTTATCATCGGGAAATGGTGCAATAAATACGACTTGTTTCAAGCTGTTAATATCCTGCACTAATTTAGCATGTTCTTTCACAATGTCATCAGCGCTCGGCGGTAAAAGATCATTATATCTACGAGAAATTTTTTTCGTTAACGAAGGCTGTTGTAACATTTTTTCACCTAAATCAGTACTTCTGCGCCAACCTACGATATAAAAATATTATTAAACATAAGTTATAATTTAATATTTCTATTATTATTTAATTATTTTGACTTTTTTTTTATAATTACCTGCGTGTATTAGATCAGGAAAGTGATCGATATTAAATTTGGAGTATCCTGCACAGTTTACCTGTAACAAAACCCATCAGCAAATCACATCAATGCGAAAAGGCAATAGAATTCCCATTAAGGAGACTTAGTAACTCAGTTTAAAAGTAAGCAATGCGTTCGTGTGCACAAGTTATCGGTAACTGCTCTCAGGTGTATGTATCTATATTTACACGCTTTGGTAATTACACAAGTAAATGTTGCATGTCGTGTAATTAAGTGACAAAACAGAAAACATAGGCGACAGAAACTCGGAAACAGGATTTTACGCAAAATCCATAACATCTTTGAATATTTTTATACAAATCTACCGTTTTATTTTATCTGGTCAAACATTGCATTGTTTTTGGGTATTCAGGGAAGCTCTCTGTCATAGCACCGCTCAGTATCAAACCACAGATGACGCACATGTAGTTTCAACAAATTAATGTGATAGTTGGACAGTAGATCAGATAGCAATGTTTCACAAATAGAAAATAAGTGTTATATTTTTTGTCATCGTAGGCAGAGGAGCACGCGACCCGTCTGATGGTGAGTGATCACAATCGCTCATATACATCAGCAATCACTCTCTTCAAACCTTGTTTAAAGACATGTCATAGCGTTCAAAAAACACGAGAACTAATTCCAGGGCCAAAAGGATCTTTGGAATACTGTAGATCAACACAGAGGAACTTCCGGCCCACCTAGTGATAGTAGTAGTGGTTTTTCATAATACCATTAACAATATTTTTTCTAACTATAATTTTCATGACCAGTAGTAAAAATCGCTTATTTCCCAACTTATCTAATTGTCAATAAAAACAATATATCATGTCGGTCTTGTAATTACGACGCTATTGGAAGCGTGATATTCGTTCATCATTAGTAATTAAACCCGTAAGTTAGCACGTTATCTATATGGACACTAACTTACTATTAAACACGCACAAATATAATAAGTAACATTTCTCTTTTCCACTTAAGACTTTCTTGCTATTAAGCCTTAAAAATTCTCATTTTGTTCAACATTAGTTAGTAGTTTTCCTAAGTAATGTTTAATTTTAGGGAACAGGAAAGTATACTCTATATTCTAATGCATCACTCTATATATAAAATCAGATAAATTCTGATTAAGTCTTTAACTAATAATATCTTGGATAAATTCAATGTTCGTAAATTTACACAAAAAAAAAACGATTTCTGAAAATCGAATAACTATATTCGTTTTAAAATTAATTTAATAAATTTAAGTTTGAGTGAAGCATCGAAAAACAGCAGTTCGCCGATCGAATAGCCCAAATTTCGCAGAAATGCTATTAAACAACTAAATTAAAATGTACCTCTGTAGGTTGCGTAAAAAGCCGTTTCTGCGTGAAGTAGCCAAAGTCAAGGGTTCCGCCGACAAGTAACACCGAAGCTTGCCATAATACCAACCACCGCCACATCTTTGCACTACTGTCTAACGATACCGACTGCATCGAACAATACCACCACCTCTCAACACTTACCTAGTCTATTGCATGCTGTATTTCTAGAGGCTAGTTAGTTCGATTAGTTACGTTTAGATATTATTTGGAGCACTATGGTAATACTTGTTTTAATCTTCTTCTTTTTTTATTGCTTAGATGTGTGGACGAGCTCACAGCCCACCTGATGTTAAGTGGTTACTGGAGCCCATAGACATCTACAACGTAAATTGCGCCACACACCTTGAGATATAGTTCCAAGGTCTCAGTATAGTCACAACGGCTGCCCCACCCTTCAAACCGAAACGCATTACTGCTTCACGGCAGAAATAGGCGGGGCGGTGGTACCTACCCGTGCGGACTCACAAGAGGTCCTACCACCAGTAATTACGCAAATTATAATTTTGCGGGTTTGATTTTTATTGCACGATGCTATTCCTTCACCGTAGAAGTCAATTTGTTCCTCTTATTTGGCTGAACTGTATTACAAGCAACATTCGTATCAAATGCACTTCACTATAACCCTGTTTCATTTTAGATTGAGAAATTAATACATATTTATTAATCCTAACAATTCATTAAATTCCTCAGAAAAAAAAAATCCATTCAATAAGATAATAATATGGATACCTACCAAAAATTAGTTATCTCTCATTACAAAAATGTATGTACAGATTTTATGTTATTCCTTTTTTTTTTATGATTGAAAGTTTACTGGTGGCCCGAAGGCCTTTCCAGTTTCACCAGGACAAGTGGGCGAGCAAAGGCTCAGCCAAGAAGGGCGGGATTTGCTAACAACTGCCCGAGCGCCTCCGAAGGAGACCTAACAACTCAAGAGCAATTGTTTCGCGAATGAATCTACTATCGGATCGGAATCGCGACCCGCTGAGAAGATCCGGCGAGAAACTCAGCGGGCTGATGCATGGGTTAGGTTGCACGTCGACCTCTTTGTCGAGTTCGACGAGTACGGTTACCGGGGTCCCTAAGCCTGCCCCTAGTATTAGAGCTGAAGGCATCTAATGCAACGGTTATTGGATCTGATGGATCCGTAAGGACGTGTCTAGGGCGTCGACGGTGACTGGCTCCTGCATGATCAGGATTCGGGGAGTAGTCAGCGGCGGCAACGATAAGGCGATTATCATGACGCATAGCCTTATCGAAGTATCGTTCCGACGCTGACTTCATGTATTTCCGAATTGATTCGAGGCCCAGGTCGTCGTGTAGGTCAACGTTCCTCACGAACCACGGAGCCCCGACAGCTAACCTGCAAAAGCGGGATTGTAGGGATTGGAGGGTGTCTATGTGTGTGCGGGCCGCGTGAGCGAACACCACACTCGCGTAAGTCATGACGGGCCTTATGCAAGTTTTGTAAAGTGTCACCTTGTTCCGAAGGGACATTTTACTCCGCTTACAGATCATGGGGTAGAGTCTACCGAGAATAAACGCGGCACGGTCACGGACTGATTTTATATGCGGGCGGAATGTCATCGATGCATCCAGGGTAACGCCCAGGTACTTGACCTTCCTGGCCCAGGGTATGGGTTGTCTAAAGAGAGTAATCGGGGGTGTGAGATTCCTCCTCCTAATCCGGGAGGAAATCCGTGTGGAGCTTCCCCTCTGAAATAGCACCGCAGTACTTTTCGCTGGGTTGATGTCTATGCGCCATTTTCGGAACCACTGTCCTAGGGCTAGGGCTGCGCTCTGAAGCTTCTTCGCGATTAGGGACTTATTTCTACTAGAATAGTAAACAGTCGTGTCGTCGGCGAATAAAGCTAAATGGGTCGGCGGCGACCGGGGAATATCGTTGACGAATAAGCTAAATAGGAGGGGTGAGAGGACAGAGCCTTGCGGGACTCCAGCTGTGAGAGGTCGTGGGGAGGAGCGGGTTCCCTCGACTCGATATCGAAAAGAGCGGTTCGACAAGAAGTCCCGTATGATGAGCACGAGACTATCCGGCACGCCCATGTTGAATAGTTTGAAAATCAAACCATTGTGCCAGACTTTGTCGAACGCTTTTGCGACGTCGAAGAAGAGAGCTCCCGTGTATAACGGTTTTGGTCGATTAAGCCCCACAAGAATGTGCTCCGTGAGGCGGTGCACCTGTTGAACGCATGAGTGATTTGTACGGAATCCGAATTGTTCATCGATGAGAATGCCCTTGGATGAGACGAAGTCTCTGAGGCGTTTGTAGAGCAGACGCTCATACAGTTTGCCTAGAGACATGAGGAGGCTAATCGGGCGGTAGCTCGTCGGATGATTTTTTGGTTTACCGGGTTTATGTATGCCGATAACGTCCGCTTCTTTCCACACCGCGGGAAAGATACAGTTCGCCATAGCGGCATTGAAAATAGATGCCAACATCACGATGAGTTGGACGGGTAGAAGTTTAATAACGCGGTTGGATATACCGTCGGAACCGGGAGCCTTGCGAGGACGTAGGTCTTTGATCAAGTCTTTAACTTCCATCGGGGTGACGGGTGGTAACGCATCAGAGGGTGGCAAGGAGGCTCTGCGTTCTACCTCACTGTCTACTAATTCTACATGAACAGGGTCCACGGATTGAGTGCTGGGCGTGCACTGGGTTTGCAATGTATCGGCCAGCAGCTCTGCTTTTTCGTCATCATCGAACGCCGCGAGTCGGCCTGAGGGGCCTACGAGGGGGGGCATAGTTACTACCGTATCCGATTTGAGAGTACGAGCTAAGCGGTAGTAAGACCTTTGGGAGGGCGCGAGTCCTTCTAAGAAATCAGACCATCTGGCATCTCGGACTTCGGCGATGCGAGACTTTACGTCGCGTTGTAGGGCACGCATTCGAATACGATTTTCCGCGGTAGGATACCTGTCGTAGGCGCGTATCGAGGCGTTCTTAGCTCTAAGGAGTTCCCTAATATCGTCGGACAATTTGAAGCGGTGAAGGAAGTCCTCCGCTACAACTTGTTTCGATGACCTATCTAATGTCGAGGTGATGTGTGACGTTAAGATGTCTATGGCTTCAGCGGTATCCTGAGGAGACGGGATAGAGTCCGGGTTAAACGGGAGCGATGGTGGATCAGATTCAGCCAGGCTGATGCCCAGCGTGTGCCAATCCACCACAGTCCTCGTGACGGGAACGGAATCGGGAGCGCGACCGAGCTTCATAACGACGGGACGGTGGTCTGAATCTAACTCTGAAACTACTTCGATCGAGTGTAAGCGCAGAGTTACGTTTTTTAATAACGCTATGTCGAGTATATCCGGGCGATGCGCGATATTTAGCGGGTAGTGAGTCGGGGTTAGCGGAGCGACGATATCGAAGGCGAGATCATCGACTAACGCGTCAAGCCGCCTGCCATTCGGGGTTGTGGTGTGTGAGTTCCACCTGATGTGTTTACAATTTAGGTCGCCCGCCAGAATGACAGAGCTCCCCATACCGAGCAGCGCCTCGATATCACTGCTTAGAACGATCTTATCCGGTGGAAGATAAACGGACGCGATAACGATCGGCGCGTGTCCAGTCAGTGAGATTCGGCATACTGATGCTTCGATGTTAGAAAGCGCGGGGGGGTCGAGTGGGACGCAGTGCAGGGCTCGTCTATAGTAAATGACGGTACCACCACCACGAGCAGTGAGCCTGTCGTTCCTAACCATGTTATAGTTCGCGATATTAGGATCGCGGCGCGCGGGCTTAAGCAGGGTCTCCTGCACCAAAAAGATGTCAATTTGATGGTCACGCAAAAAATCACAAACCTGATCACGTTGATTTGCGAGACCGTAAGCGTTAAAAAATCCTATCGTTACGGATAGGGGCTTTATTCTACTTATGTACGCCATTTATTACCGGCGGAGTGAGGGGAGGACGTACGTATTTAACGACGCGTATACGTCAGCGTATTCTTGCACAACGGCGATGAAGTGTTGTGCAGTGGAGGCGGCGCGAATGGCGTCACCCAAAGCATTAACACGCTCAAAGTTGATCGACTGAAAAAAGTCGATCGCTAGAACGAGATTGTCGGACGCGTCCTTTATTACTCCGAATGCCGTTCTGAAGTACCGTAAGCGCTAACTATTTATTTAGAAAGTAAAAAAAAAGTATTTTTCTCACCTACCTTAATGTTTGAAGCGCGATTATTTCACTCGATAAGGTTGTAAGGACGTCTAACTCACTACTCCAACGATTGTTCAAAAAACGGGAAAAGGGAAGGATAAAACGCACTGTTTTAGGTAACTTTACTATTTGACGTCTGACAATAATGGTTGACTAAAGATATCATTTCCATTCCATTCCTACAGTTTAGGTTGCGGAGTAATCATTAAACACTACTAATTTGGTAAAGTACTATAAATTGTACATTTTAAGATTTAGGAATAATTACCTGGCCAATATTTAAGTAAAGTAATTTATAGGATAGAAAAGAAAACTGTAAAATAAATTCATTTGAACATTTTCTGTACGCCGATTTTGTTTCCTGGTTATTCCTTACTATCGCGACTGCTATAAAGCAGTACAGTAATTACAGATCAAGCAAAAATATCTTTTATATTATTATAAAAGATTTTTGCTTGATCTGTAATTTTATTAGTTACACTATTAAAACATCAATTGTGGTATGGTATCTTTATTACAAATATTGAAAGGGATACCAGAAATTTACAAAATAACAAAATAATACAAAAAAATCCGTTTCACTTTTATTGAATAAGTGATTCTTTACTGAACCTAACACAAAAGCTTCAAATTTTTATGTTTAATCGTTCACGCCAATCTTGAGTAAAAGAAAACCGGAAAGTAAGATTCCTTTACCAATGCTTACTTTCTATTTTAAAAACACTATACATAAAAATCTAAATTAAGTAATAAATATTCACCACGCATCTTCAAAATCAATAATACGATTTGCATTAATGACAAAAAATAATTAGGAATGTGTCATTAACAACACAATTAAAATTATTTTTATTACAGTAATGGAAATATCAAAGAAAGAAAATTAATATCGGACTCTGCCCGTTTCACATCGTTCATTTATTTCGTATTAGAGTATATTAATTTATACTTACACCAAATCAGAAACACACACACATTTCACAGCAGTCAGAAACCCTATTTAGTCACGAAGAAAAGAAACTTCGCGAATTTTTACCATCACATATTATTTTAAATAAGGTATGTATGTATGTGAGTACAAACTATGTGTTATTTCTAATCGAATTAATGTCTCAGTTCAACGAGTCTTAAATACAGAGGAGTTGCAAGTGTTCTCCGAAACGATAAGCAATGAAAATCGCGAATGCAAAAACCATATTTTACTAGCATTTCTGGAACGGCAAGCAATGTAAGAAATTATATCGACCCACACACGGAAACGTCCGCAAGCTTCTTTTGCTTTACATTGCGGGTCGCTTCGTATTAAGAGAATTTATTTCTCATTTACGTTTAGTAGTTTATTATAACTTCGCGCCTTTAAGAACGACTCCCATACAGCCTACATCTATTATTTAAGCATTATGAGTAAAATCATACGTCTCATTTACGTTTCAATATAAGATTTATAAAATGACAGTTTAAAAATACTTATACAAAACTACTTTTTAATTACCAAATATGAAATCATATTTCTTTTCGACATAAGGATATTAGTGGCCGCGACGAAAAGTTCATCTTTTGGGATACGGGCAAAAGCGCGCTGCTCATCTGGTGTTTATTTGTAGTGTACTGGAGCAAATTGATACAACAAGACGAATGCTGCCACTCACCTTAGGACATGAGGTTAGATTTCAATTGTATTATAAAACGGCTGCACCATCCGTTCGAACCGAAAAGCCATATATATTGATCCAACACAATATGTTCACTCAATTCATATTTGCACCGTTTTGGGGTATGATTTCAAAGAATCCTACTCCTACATTTAAATTTGTTGTATGGATATTATAAATTTACATTTGGTAAATAAAATCTAGTTGTGTATTTAACATTGGTGGTGTTGTATACATATAACCTGTTATTTCCATAAACAATATTATATATCTTCGAAACCTATAATTCGAATATATTGTGATATTATTCACAAACAATACTAATTGACCACGAACCAAAACTTGATTACATCGTTACTATTATTAACGATTTACAAAAAAAACACAAGCAGGGCTCGTATTTACTACTTCAAATTGTTTATAACTGTTTAACGGTCAGAGAGTCCTTATCCTGTAATCTAGATCACGTAAACATAATACTTCTTGTTAATAATTTCAGTAATCTGGCATTTTAGATTTAAAATACCTCTCAAAATACCATTCTCGACGAATGAATAACAGCCACCACAATTTTCTAGATTATCTTATTATTCCTTATACTTAAACATCGAATCAAACTTTCCTCAAATATTACATCGGAACGTGTACAGCATGATTGTTTTTTTTTTTTTATGAATTCAAATATTTTTTTATTGAATCAAGTTATTGACTTATTAAATAAAAAGAGACGTCCTACCAAATAAGCCGTGAGAAAAGTTCGTCAAATACTGACAATTAGAGCTATAATTCAAAAACAAACAGAATACAACAAATCGCAAAATTATCTGGGGTGTTTAGTGTACCATTAGTAAGATCATTAAATTTTGATAATTCATAACAAAATAAGATGTACTATCAGGTCCCTATTTCACACTTATACGATTTATTATTCAATACAAAGATTATAAAAATTTGGTGAGCTGTATTATATATTAAAACTTTTATACATATTAATTTGCACAACTTTCATATAAATAATATTCGTAAGTTCTCCTTTTTTAACTATCCACGTTACATTTTCAATTATTTCATGAGACAGTTACTGTGAAAACCAACGTCTTATTCTAATTTTGTAATATTACGGGTGAGGATTCCACGATAAAGCTATAATTCGTTGTTCGAAATAATTCGATTTCGAACCAAATAACTTTCAGGTAACGTAAAGCTCAACCAATCTACAACGCTCAAGCCGTAGTGCGAATAACACATGAGTAACTCCGGTTCATTTAAGATCCATAAAAGAGATGAAGGTTAAGACCAAAATTTATAGTTAGCTAGCGACCCGCCCTCGCTTCGCTTCGGAAACATTAAATTTTATTATTGATAGGCGAGTCCCGCCATGTTGCGCGACAACTGCGGGTGACGCCGCGGCGCGAAGCTAGCCTAAAAAAAGTAGCCTAAGTTACTCATTATATCATCAGCTACCTATTAGTGAAAGTCTCATCAAAATCGGTCCAGCCGTTCCAGAGATTAGCCGGAACAAACAGACAGACAGACAAAAATTGTAAAAAATGTTATTTTGGTGTATGTACCGTATATATATTCATATGCATGTAGTAAAAAGCGGTTATTTCAATATTACAAACAGACACCCTAATTTTATTTATATGTATAGATGAAGATTGAAATTATGTTGAACGATAAAAATGAATTATATGAATAAAAAAAGAGACATCAGTTGATTTAACATTAGTACCCGCTTCGGAAACTATTCCAATGGCGCTGAAGTAATCAGAAGCTTACATGAAATAAGAATATTTATGTCTCCCTTGATCTTCTTCAAACGAGGCTTGTGGAGAGTATTAAGCGGTAGGCAGCGGCTTGGCTCTGACCCTGGCATTGCTGAAGTCCATGGGCGACGGTGACCACTCACCATCAGGTGCGCCGTATGCTCGTCTGCCTACAAGGGCAATAAAAAAAAACACTAGATGGCGCCGTTTACGAGACTAAAATAGTTGAGACTTTATCAAAGCTATAGAGTATCAACAAAGATTCACACTACGGCTTCTGAAGAATGTAGCGAATTGCAGATGACGACTTTGACCATTTAGCGGGATAAACTAAAATTTTAATTTTGTTTCAAAGTACTGATGTATGTATATATTTCATTTTAATAAAATATCCATCTATAAATTAAAAACAGTTCTGATAAATTGTCATTATCCATATCATTTAATACGTGTTTGTAAGAACCAGGCTTGGCTGCTACATAGTATAGGATAGCACACAAGCTCCTGTAGGCGAATGATAATGCTTATTAGTCCGCGTGATCAGATTAATCGTAAAAGAAAAACATGCTTTGTCGAATTTGAAAAGAAACATCTATGATTTTGGAAAGTTATTTGATTTGCTGATTCTTAAGCTGCGAAAACTTAGCTTTGGTACATTTATTATGATTTAATATGCAAATCACGTAAGTAGAACACGCTTTATTAATATATTCGTGTTGAATAGATTTCAATACGTATCTTGTCTTTTTAATTGTGAAGTTATCACACCAAAGGAACATGTAGTAGAAGGCTAAAGTTACATTTCAAGAAATTCAGAACATTAGAATATTATCAAGAACATTAATATAATCGTGAATGCTAAGATCATTGTAACCTTAATTACTATCTTCTACAAAAATATGTGGACACAATATACAAAATATGTATTTTAAATAATAAGAGGGTAAACCGTGCTTTGCATAGTACTTAAATTTTCCATTTTAATACTTCAAAATTACAGTCTGGAACAGACTTGTATATAATCTAATCTGTAACATTCACTAATATTTGTAAGTTCACACATGCTGAGCTACCTCAGTAACATTACAATTTGCATATGTGTAGATGATCAGTTATCAACTACACTTAATTACCAATACTTATCATTAAACCAAAGTTTTAAATTTTTTATTACAATAAAACAAATTCAATATATTATCTCAAAAACTAATAATCCGTTGAGGTATATTTAGCACTTATTAAAAAATGTTCTATAAGCTCCAAGAATTAGTATACATTCCAAACTATATTTCTTATGATTTCTTAAGAGTATGAGGCACATGGACCGTATTGTACTTTTCGTTTTTATTTCAATATTATGTTCTGGTCAAATTATTTACCTTTACAGTTTACATAATGACAATATAGAAACCTGTTTTTGTTATAATCTCTTTTAACATTCTTATTATAGAATTAATAACTCTTAAACAACATTGATAAGAATATCTGTGTTTTGAATAAACTTAGTGGTAAAATTCAGTGTTATAAACCAGGCCTACTCTACCATATAATATATTACTTCCATTTAATACATTTATTTGCTTTAATTCTTCCATGTTTAAGTTTGTTATAAGGACAATCTAATTATATAATTTTGTTTATAATTGAATGTACAAATACTATAAAATCGATATTGGACACCAACAGTTGTGTAAAACTTGTTTAATATATCACTGACTTTGTAAGCCTCGGCAGTGTGTGTTGTTCCATTGGAACTCTACATAGTTATGTATAAAACTACATACATAATATTTTTTTATAATCTATTTGTGCAACCAGTCTCCTGGCCATAACTTACACAGTACATTTTAGTATCTTATCCTATTTTGTATATTATTTAATGTTTTAGGAATGTACACTAAAAATCAGAGTTCAATATTTATAATTTCCCAAGAATTCATATGATGAGACTATCTTAAAATGATATGAAGTTAACGGCAAGCCTGTTGCAGTAGTTCTGCTTTATTTCCTGAAACAATATATACAAGACATTAATTTAATAAGGTATTTTGCAAACCAGTAATAATATTTACCTATTTTCTAAATGAAATGTATTTGCATTAAACTTTTTTTTTTTCTTAGACCATGATTGTATGTTTGTGTTTGTGCAGGCTAATCTGAACTAATTTGATTGTGGTTTGAGTGCTGTATTAGAATAAATAAGTTCTAACATCAATTAATAAACACAATGACTAAGAATATTTATGCTATATTTTGGTATTTTGATTTGACAATCTCCTTTAAACACCATCGAAAAGGACAAAATAATATAACATAATATATATATATTTTACATCTAACTATACCTAACTATACCACTACCTTCCTGATAAATGAGAGTTTTATTTTAAGTGTTTACAAATAATACAATATTGTAAATTTTAAAGCGCATATAGAATTCCCGCATTCGCAAATTCTTTGTTATATAAATACATTATTACTCTAACTAAAGACTGCTTAAATCATTCTATGATATCAGATATTTTAGCTTGAGCTACACTGAGCATTTAACTGTCAGATCTAAATGTGATGAATCACATTTTTATTCATGATGCAAACTGTATCAACAATCTCAAAGTTCAAAGTATCACTTATTATTATAATATTATTATTTATAAGTTGCCACCTATTTTAAGATCATTTTCTGATAGGTACAGTTTCTACTTATCTACCAACAATTTCAAGGTTACAGTTACCACTTGGAGAGTTTCTATCTAACCAAGTATGCATACTATTTAAAATCATATAAAAAAAACTTTTCGCTATGCATTCAAAAGCTAAGCTAATGCTAAATAACACATATATGTAGCACTATGTCGCTTAGAGCGCTTTTATAATTAGCAATTGATATAATTTCGCAGTAATTATTGTTAAAAGATGATTATATGATTTTAATTTAAGTGATTACATCATTTACTTACTTTCTTTGATACAAGAAACATAAAATGAGAATAATAAAACGAATTTATAACTTAAGATATTTACGCAAAGCTTAAAAATCAAACAATAGGTTTGAATTATATGAATTTAACAGTAAGGTGGTTAGATGGGTGTTCGTTCGCTATCTGCAATTTTTTTAAGGGTTATTGCATGCTACTGTGGAACTATTCCACTATGAGCTCTAATTACAATGAAACATTTAATGATGTTTGCATTTTCTATAATGGAGCTTAAAATCGTTTTTACCTTATTTATCTTTAGCACAATTAGCAGCACTTGCTTTAACTGGCTGTGGGATAATAGTAATCTCATCATTTATCTTCAAGGGTTTCAAGAGTGAGTCGTTGTTTGCTGAAGCTTTGGCAGATGGTGTATTATTTTTGTTTTTGTCCATAACGCGTTTTGCAACTACACTATGAGCTGAATAAACATGGTTCTCGAACAGTTTATACATTCCGAATGTGGCAGTACACACGGTACATTTATAAGACAAATGTGCTGGCTTTAATGTTAGATTGTGATCACGAGCAACATGATTAAGAAGTTTCCATTGATATACCTGTAACAAAATAAAATTTCAAAATTATTGACTATCCAAAGTTAATTCATATATATTAAAATTCACATAATATGTTAAAAACTTACTCTGCCACAAACTGGACATCGGCCTGCATCTTTGCCTTTATTTGCTGCTTCTTGCATAGAACTAGTAACAAGACCATGCGAGCCTAATAAATGTCGTTCCAAACCTTGGTCAGTGAAAAACCTGTAATGTGAACATTTACAGTTATGAAATTAATAGTATTTTTTAATGGCGTAGATTGATATTGTGTAGATTCACACAGCCTACATAAACTGAGGGCCATATTAACTTCTTTAGTATAGTGACACTAACTCATCTTAAAGTTTTAATTCAATTCCTAGTCACTACCTTTTTAAAAATATCTGGTATTTGGAGTCTGGAGATACTTGTCTCTTGCTTGTCTTCTATGTGTTCCCATTATTTATGGCATGGAATAGAATCTTAGCTTTGAATGTGAAAAGTTTGTCTATATAAATGAATAATGATAAAATAATTGTGAAACATTTACTCCTTTGTTTGTCAGCTGATTGTCTATTTCTATTTATAACAAAATATGTCAATAACAAAACAAAAGAAAAGCTCTAATATGTACATAAATTAAATCTAAATCTTGAGGTGCCACTGATAATGGTCGATTTATTGCTACTGGGCTACTATTTTATTTAAATAAGTGATAAGTGATCACCTGTATCACTGCCTTGATGTATTATGTAAAATTCGTGACAATTTTTTGCGATCATAGACAGACACAAATGTTGCCAGGTAATAAATTCTACATATAGGATAAAAATCGGAATTTCATAGTTTTTATACCCTCCCACAAAAAAAATGTATTAATTAAATTATTTATTTGCATTACATACTAATTAAATCAACAAAAACTATTGAGGGTTTACCTAAATTGACATTTCTGGCAGTTCAGTGGTGGTCTGTTGTAGATCATTTTTGGGTGAATTTTAACTTTGTGAATCCATTGCATATGATTTCGCAATTGCTCTAGGTCTTTTATGTAACCATCACAGATCTCGCAAATCACAAACGAGCCTTTTGATGCCTGCACATTCTGAACTGCCTGTGCAGGTTGCGGTTGCCGTGGCAAGGGCGTTATCGATATAGATGGCTGCTGCCCTGGCTTATTTTTCTGAAAAGGCAAAAACGTATATAATATATTTTTGTAAAATAAAATCATCATCATCAGTCCAGTTGTACAATGCTGGACATAGGCCTCTCCCAATTAACACCACTGATCCCAGTCTTCAGTTCTCTGCATCCATTTCTTGCCAGGCATCCTTTGCGTTATTATATATAGGGCGTCCCACAATGGTTATATTGTACAATTTTCATGATGACTATTGAGAATATCAATATATGAATATAGTTCAAACAAAACTTATATTTCAAGGTGCGTGGCGCATTTACGTTGTGGATGTCTATGGGCTCCAGTAACCGCTTAACACCAGGTGGGCTGTGAGCTCGTCCACCAATCCTAAGCAAAAAAATAAAAAAAGCACAATAAATTCTGTTATGAAAAAGTGGAGATAGTCAGCATAATATTTAAAAAAAAATGTAATTAAATGTAATTTGAATAAGAAGTTATGAGTTAGAACGAGTAGTAATATAGAGTAAATGTTGTTTAAAATATGCCTACGTCTCATGAAACCTGAAAGAAATACTATGATGCTTACTGTCGGATAATTTGAAGAAGCAGCAGGAGAATTATGCCTAATCATAACACCTCCACGTATAATAGGAGCTCCATGAACAGGTATGGGTGCGCCCCGAGGAGGCATTGACAATGGTGCTCTACCTCGAGGGCGGAAACTGCCTCCTGGTGCCATATTTGTTACTGACATTGGCCTGTTAATATTATTACCAACATGGCGGTTAAACTGGTTTTGATACGGGCCCATCACATTACTACGCGATTTTGTTATCTGTAATAAAACATTAACATTAACAAATTTATTTTCTTGTGTATAAAATAATTAAATTTAATTTTCAAAACGGTTTCCAAAAATATTTAGACATATTAAACATTATTATATTAACCTACCTTTGGTATTTTTGCTGGGGGCTCCCATTCAATTGGTGGTGATAAATTGATAGCTGGTTTAAATTTTTTAGCACAAGGTATTTGATGACGAGCTAATTTACCCTTACCATTATCTTCAAACGGGCAATTAGGACACTCGTGATAAGATGGAGCTTTTTCTAATTTACCTACAATATTATGCTCAGCTTTCATATGCCTCAAAATATCATGTGGGCTTCGAATTTCAAATTCACAAAAGTTACACTTGTACAAATTATTTTTCATGTGAGGTGTTTCTAAATGATTGGCCATTACAAGGGTAGACTCAGTCTTAAAGGTGCAAAATTGACATTTATTCTGCAGATAAGCATAAGGTGCATTATTTTCTTTGCTTAATTCCAAATTTTTCATGAGCGATGCTATTGATGATTCGGTAGCCTTTGTGCTATGGCCAGATTTCTTTTCCCTGTTTAATTTACGGTTCTGCTGTTTGAGCAAATCACTTTGTACAAATTCTTGAACAAGGTTGTAACCAATATCCATAAAAAATTTGCCTAGTGAACAATCAAAGTAGCTCTCAGATTTACCAACGGTTTTGTCAGTTACTATATCAGTCACATCCTTGATATCATCTATTGGATCAACTTTATCTTTGAGAATTTTATCTTCTTCATCACTAATTACATCATCTTCAGACTCTGAAGATGACTCACCATCCCAAGATGCATCATCATCATCATTCCCATGCCTTCGTCGCTCTGTAATTTAAAATAGAAAACTCATTAGCGCTCCCTAATATTGAAAATCCATGTGTGTGATTGTAACTTTTAGTTTAAGGTCAAAGTAAAAGCAAAATAGTGGATTTTTTTCCTTCTATTAGGTTTTACCCGACTGCTTCCAGACTTTTGGGTGGTAGTGTATATTTAGAAGAAATGTCCAATGAGCTAAATATTTAAACATTGCAACAAACTAGACTGAAAAGAAACTATTTGAAAGAATTTTGTCTTGATGATTTTCATTTATAAAACACAATTTTTTTAAGATCTTTTACTACCTTCATATGTAAGACCTTTTAATATCCTATCCTATCGTATCCTATCAGCCCATGGACGTCCACTGCTGGACATAGGCCATCCCCAAGCCTCGCCACAAAGACTGGTCCTGCACTGCCTGCATCCAGCGGATCCCCGCGAACCTCAATAGGTTGTCGGCCCACCTTGTGGGAGACTTACCTAGAGGTAACCTTTTAATATATTGACAATCAATTAGTGGCAATTAAAGTACAAGATGTTATATCTACCTCTTTTTTCAGTTTTCTTCTTTTTCTCCATATCCACATCTTCTTCAGATTCCTCTACTTCTTCTTCTCCTTTGGTTATTTTTTCATGCATTTCCTTGGCTCTTTTCTCTTTCTCTTTGTTATTTTTTTCTAATCGCTCTTTGTCTTCTTTGGCTTTTTGTTCTTCTAGCTCTTTACCTAATATGTCTACAAATTCTCTAAAAGGTTGCAAAGAGGGTTTTTCGTACACGTATGGTACAATAAAAGATGGTGCTTCAACCACATACATATCATCTGTAAGTGAGGGTAGAATTGTTTGAGTCTGTGAGGAGCTATTATTGTTTGTTGCATTACTTTTACTACTAACAGGGGTAACTGTAGTTCCACGAGCAATCATATTCTGATATAAAGTTTGAGCATTTGTAGAATTAATTGAAGGTTGTGTTTTGTTTATTGTTTGCTTGTTAGCATGTGTATCAATTATAACAACTGTTGGTTCTTTCTTCTTATTGTCATTCTGACTTGCCTTTGTATGTTTTGCTGCCATCTCAACCAATGTTTTAGTATCATTGATGACTATTGGTCTCATTTTATGCCGTAAAGGATCCAGCATTTCTATTTCTTCCACTTCTGAGTCATCACCATTTTCTATTTCATCACTGAATTTCCTCCTCTTTATTGTTCTACTGCTTCTTCTAAGAACTGTTTTGCTATTATTTGTATTTGATTTTGGTTTTTCTACTACTGGTTCAGTAAATGTTTCATCATTATCACTTTCTATTTCATGGACTTCTGGACTGTGAGCATCATGTGAATTCCCATTTTGTGTATCTGACCTATCATTATCTATCAAGATTACCTCTGTTCTTTTAAGTTTATTGTCACTTCCCTGTGAAGATCCATCATCGCCAGAGTCAGAGTTGATGCTTACTGCATCATCTGCTTTAGGCTCAGAACAATCATCTGATGATTCCTCTGTATTATCTGAGTTCTGAAAATGTGTTTTTTATAAAAAAACTTGTCAATATGTTACATTTGTTTAGATTTATAATAAAGGGGTGTTCATGCATTTACAGACTATTATATGTTTAAATAAAGATATAGTTTGTTTTATGAACAAGATATTATAAATACATATTTGATCTATTTTAGTTATGGCTTGTATTTTGCTTCCAGTAAATTATTTTAATATACTCAATTTCATCAAATCAATATTTTTTAGTGAGAATTTGATATATTATTTGAATTGCTTATTATATTAGGTAGAACATTATTAGAGAATTTGATATATTATTTGAATTACTTATGATATTAGGTAGAACAACAAAATTAAATTAAGTAGTTGTGTTACCTAACAATACCTTGTAACTAACAGTAGAACTAGAGGCCACAGTCCCAGCTGTTTTTATTACAAAATAATTTCAACTAAATTTTTATACATACAATGGACAAACAATGAAATAATAACTTACTTGTGTATTGTCACAACTATTTGAAGTGTCTTTTCCTGTATAATTATATTTTATATCAATACTGGTGATTTTGAGTTGCTCTATAGACTTAGCCTGTGAACTGGTTTCTGAACCAGTATAAGAGTCATTGCTGTTTCCACATTCATTTTCTGCAGTAACACAGTTATCATCTTGGATGGCCATTTTTACAGTACCAGCTTCACGTACAAGTATTATCTTATCATCATTATTATGAATACTGTTGCTGTCAGACTGCTCGGAATCACTATTAGTTTTGGTTTCAATGGAAGAACCATCATCTACCGTAATACTTTGAGTTATCAATACACTACCTTCCACATTGGTACTACTATCACTTTCAGTGTCATCATGATCATCTTTAGCATCTGAATTCTTATGGTCATCTTGTATGTTAGATAGGTCTGCAGGTGAATCTAATGATTTATCCATAATTCCATTTATTTCTCCATTCATAATGAAGAAATGCTACATATCATGTTATAGGCACTGAAAACAAAAACAAAACAGTTTGATGTAGAGGTTATGTTTATGTCTTCTGTAGATGAATGAGACACCCAAGTGTTTTTGGCGTCAATTTTTTGTAGCGATCACCGCCCCCTCCCCTGCCCTCTCTCCCCTCTGCCAAAGCACTAGTAATCAAAATGGCGGTTCCATGGTAAAAATCTAAGAGCTACGTGTCCAAAATTTCTCATAGCAACAAATAAAGTATGCCATCACTACACGAAAACACGAATAAATTTATAATGAAATATATGTGAAAATTGAAGTTTTATTGTTATAACAGTTACGGTGTCATATTCTGATAGGTAGGTAATCGAAAATGTGTGAAACTCGATTCAGAAAACGCCAGCATTTGAAACCATCTATTAAAACAATACATAGAATTGGGTAATATGATCACGTACTTCGTAAGCAATAAGAGGTGGGAAGCAAAAACCGGCACTTAGAACTTTCTCTACTGATAAATGAATGAAAAACTATGAATTAACTTAGAAATTGTTTGAATTAATAATACAATTTTGCCACCTACCCAAAGTAACCAGCACTTTTGGTTCTTAAACCCTTCACTACTTGGTTGCCTATGAGACCTCGAAAACTTTTTCAGAACTTAGTTATATATTACACTTTAATTCACAATTTAGACAAATAGTAAAATTTTCCGTAAAGTTATAACATTGTAGAAAAGGAATTTTAACCAAATATTTATTTCATTCATTTACAAATATTTAATTTTAACTGAAATTACAAAGCGCTCGCCACCGTATTAATTCAATATGGCGACTGTTAGGTGATCACGTGACCTTAAAGGTAGTGTAGAGTTGTATTTAATTTAAGATCGATTTCTTTTAATCGATTTTCATTTTAATTAAAGATAAGTCGATCAGTACTTACCATTAGTATGATGATGGAATTATCATGACCACATGCAGTTTTAACTTTACTGTTTTAGACATCTTGTAGATAAAAACTGTATTTCAAAACTTATTGCTCATGTATCATTCACACATCTTGGTTAGATTTCTACAGTAAAAATCTTTTGTTAATAATAAACAGGATAAGGATACAGGGTACATAGTATTAATTAGTAGAGTAGGTAAAGGTTGGTTGTCTTTAAGCATGATAACCACTTCATCATGCGTTTAGACAGCCGTATTCTTGCCCTTTGAACTTGCCATTACCTTTATTCGATGCAAGAAAAAACAGCGACTATAATGTAGTGAATTCGTTAAAATAAAAGAACAAATATACTGTTATTCAAGGTAAAAAAGGCAGAAAAAGAATTTTACATTCGTTTCTATTTTTTGTGTAGCTTATGGAGATCATATAGTGAATTCCACCACCTACCTTGAGACATGAGGATGAACTTTCAACTGCATTGGATTACAGCTGTCTCGACTTAAATACATCTCTGCTTTGCGGCAGAACTACGTGCAGACTTACAATATGCCCTACTATAAATAAATGCTGGCTGGTAATCGGAGTACGCTAGTGTGATACTCCCCGAAGGGATGACTAACTAAGCTGCATCACTACTGTGGCTAAAATCTAAAACCAACTGAATGTACAGAGTGGCTTACAAAAAATATACTGTAACGCTCACGTTCTAGTCGGTAATAAGTGGTTGCCCGAGCTTAAGATGGCTGAATCGTTTAACATTTGATTACATAAGCTCTAAACGATTTTACTACTACTAAACTAGTAAGATAGTTTATTTATCTGTTTTACTCGTTATAACATATAAGTTACTGAACCTGGGCGCTATGTAGATCCAGCTTAAAAAAAAGAGGTCAATCGTCGAAACCATCTTGGATGGGCAGTCTTCGGAATGCAGCGTAAAATCTTCTCATCATTAATATCACAGTGTCTCAAGACGAAAGTCTTTGACCAGTATGTGTTGCTAGTGATGACATATTATAGCACTGGGATAGCTTACAATGGGCCTCATCAGAAGACTCAAGGTCACCCAAAGAGCAATGGAGAAGGCTATGCTCGGAGTTTTCCTACGAGACCAAATCAGAAATGAGGAGGTTCACAGGAAAACCATGGTAACCGACATAGCTCAAAGGATTGCGACATTGAAGTGGTAGTGTGCAAGGCATATTGCTGGTAGAATGGATGGCCGTGACTGGCGACCGCGTACTGGAAGACGTAGTATGAGTAGGCTTCTCACAAGATGGACTGACGACTTAATGACGTTCACGAGAATCCGCTGGAGGCAAGCAGCGTAGGATCGATCTTTGTGACGACGTTTGGAGGAGGTGTATGTGCAGCGATGGACGTCTGTCTGTGATAGAATCGAATAGAATAGAACTTGGGCGTATATTTATTGTAAGATGCTCCTGTCTCAAATGCTTCTGAACATATCGCTTTTATACTCGATTGTTAGAGAAAAAGCAACGATTAGATTTGTTTTCGGCGAACTTTGTCGTTCGTTTTTCCGGCACTAGGGATGTCCATAGTACAAAAGTATGAATGCTTGAATGATTGAATTGACTACGATTTAATTTAAGATCTTTTAATTCATTCAATTGGAGAATTTAAGGACCATGCTATTTGTTTAGCGCTGTTGATATTTGCTTTAAGAAAATGTTCAAATTCTCTAGAAGATAGAAATGTATGGGACATGCTTTCTTAGCCTGTACCGATGATCGACTAGAGAAAAAAAATTGACGGATTATAAAAATTCAATTGACAAGAATGATTATGAGGTGTCCTGAAGTTATTGGAACTTAATTTCAGAATGTATACATAATTTAATATTGTCACAACACTTTTATTTTCAATGAAATGTTAATGTTTTGGAAACAGATGTATCCATTTTATAAAAGTTATTTTCCTCAACTTTCTATTTATTCGTAAACCATTTCAATAATTTGAGTTCATATTAAACTGAAAGGTTTTTTTAGTTTGTATTTTACAATGGCTTTCCCCGTTTTATTAATAATGTTCGTTACGATCGTTTTGGTTAAAACCGAAGAGGAAACTTCAGGATTACGTATGTCAAAGGCGGAGAGACTAAGCTTAAGGTATTTATTAAGAACTGTAAAAATAATGTATATTCAATCTTTATCCTTGCATTAAATGTATTTAATAGCTTCTTGAATTCCCTTATAACGTAAGAAATTGATTAAAACCTAAAATTTTGTCACCAAGATGTATCTTTAATCAATTGCAACTGGCTCATATCTAACTTTAAATCATTTACAACCATTGTAAAAGCACATTTCCAAAATGATCCGTGCTTACAAAGCTACTCAAGATACTATTGATTTGTACTCTAAATACTGTATTCTTCTAAATTCTTCTTCTTTGTCTCAGCCTTATCTCACTAGGTGGGGTCAGTACAGCGAATTATCTATTCCATTCTCTTCTATTAGCTGTCATCTTACTACTCACTCCTCTCTCTCTCATATCGTCATTCAGACACTTCATCCATGTCCTCTTCAGTCGACCTCTTCCCACTCTACCTTGCACTACCATTTCCATACATCTCCTAGTCATATGCATATCCTCTCTATATACACATGTACATACCACACTAACTGTATTATATTAACTTTTTATATAATTGTATTAAAAAACATTGCTGCAATTTCATAAAAAAACATATTTCTGGTACACTTTTTATTAAGGAGCATTGTTTTGATTTGCAATTTATTTTTCTAAGACATACTGGAGATAAAATTTATTAAAATTTAAATAAAATATTGAAATAAGTGCAATGTCACTTGTTACATTTTAGACCAATTTTAATTATTGTAATAAATAAAAAAAACTAAATGAAATTTAGTTATACAGTGATGCTACAGACACTGTTACTTAACCTCTTTCTCAAATCAGGAAAAGTCCTCAGTAATAGGTGGCAGTATTGCTATGCCCTAAGCATTGCTACTGTTTGTGAGTGATGGTGATCACTCTCACCATCAAGTGGGTTCTATGTTAGTCTACCTACATTAGCAATAAAAAAGTGTTTGAGACAATGAAAACCAAAACAGATTTACATTTTTTTAAAGAAATTGATGCCTACTGTAGCTTTTAAATAGTGCAATAGTAATACCAGTTTGTTATTTTTTCAATGAAGATATCATCATGATGTGCAAAATATTTGAATTCTAATGACACCTGTTTCGAGTACAGAATACATTGATGTTGTATTTAACAATATTATGATGTAGCAACCTGGAGGCTATATGTAAATTATATTTGTAGAGATGAATCAAGGCAGATGTTCTATCATGCTTATCATGCTTACATGGAGAATGCATATCCAGCTGATGAACTGATGCCTCTCAGTTGCAAGGGCAGATGGAAAGGAATTACACCGAGTCGTGGAGATATGGATGATGCTTTAGGAAAGTAAGTATCTTTTCAAAGTTTTAATGATATCACACAAATATAGCACTACAGAGAACAATGTTTCATTAGTGTACTATCAAAACTTATTTTCAATTGTAAGAATGTACACAATATACATATTATAAAATTTTGAAATTTGGTTAATATTTTTGCTTTTAGTTTCTCATTGACATTGGTGGACAGCTTAGACACTTTAGTTGTGATGGGGGACTTTTCGGAATTTAATCATGCAATCCAACTCGTTATAAAAGATGTCTCTTTTGACCAAGATATTGTTGTTTCAGTCTTTGAAACAAATATTAGGATGCTGGGGTAAGTGAAAAATATGAATAACATACACAAGTATTGAGGATTGTGACTATTAATCAGATCTAATCAGATCTAATCAGATCCTTAGTATTTCTGCTGCAATTAGCAGGAAAGCTGATATTTTAATGCAGTGTATCTTGACCTAAGGTCTGAAGGTTGGTGGCGGTATTTGTGTTCTAAATTCAAATTTATTCAGACAATGTCTATTTTAACAAGCACAAATTTGAAATAACAACAAACGATGTTTACAATTTTATTACATTATAAGTATGTATATATATCTTCTCATTATAATTTGACATTGAATTGTCATATCAGTTGTACGTAATTCAAAGTTGGTACTTTGAAGCATTATTCTACTGATAAGATCATGGAACTAGTTAAAATTTTACAATTATCAACCTACTACCCATTTATCACATCGTTGGTGTTTAGGGACCTTGATTACTATATTTTATCAGAAAGTCCAAGATTTAATTTCACTGTCTATATCTATATCTTTCTTCCTTTCTATATTTTTGGACCGATGCAAATGGAAAAATTTGATCCAAGCCCAAACTTTGATACATGCTAGCAGAGGGTAATAGGAAAGAAAGAAGAAGAACATCTTTGTTAATCGTATTTGGTATTTAGGCTTGACATTTATAATCTATACTTGTCTTGTAACTTATCGTAAAAGATTCTGGTAACCATAACACAAGAGAAAATTCTGGGTTGGGAAGTTGAATGTCATTTTCATTACTATAGGTATTCATTTGTTATTTTGAGACTGATCACTTATCGAAAGTTTATCTTCATAAAGACTTTTAGTAACTCATTTAATACCTCACTCAAATGAAGAAATCCTGATGATTCGCCCTTATATTTATTTTTTAATACAATAATATTTAGTTTTTTAAATATTAATACAACTGATTAATTATTATTTTAGGGGTCTATTGTCTGCTCACGTATTGGCGGAAACGTTGAAGAGCGATATTCCATTATTGCAATGGTATAACAATGAATTGTTGACGATGGCAGAAGATTTAGGGAAAAGGTTGTTACCTGCTTTCAATACATCCACTGGCATACCTCATGGAAAGGTGAATTACAGAGACTATACAATGCATAATTAAAGTATAGGAGTTTAATGTATTAAAAATATACTAATCCAGTTATAACAGATGACGATTACGAATTGCGTGCGACTTATACATATCTAGTTTTACATGTGAGACCTTGACGCAAGTGTCACCAACAATGTACAAAGTTAGAACTAACTCTCTCAGAAGAACGATGTGTGAATGCAAAGAACACGGACACTATAATTAATGATTTGTTATGTAATATTTAAAAAAAAAATGCGTCTTTATTTTCTTTAATATTTTATTGTTCACGATTCATTAAGTCGAATTCTTGTAAATTTGTACTAGTAATGTTTTAAAATTAATTAAATGATTGAATTCAATTCAAATAATAAATGGTACAAAACTAGTGAACCACGTTTCCGTTCCATTGTGACTATCGCGAAATGTATGAAATCAACCATTTTTCGATAATAACACGCGCCACTATCTGCAACAGAAACCTTCAATGAAGTGCCAACGACATCTGTACACTGAGTTTCATCACAATCGGATGAATCCCAGCGATTAAAATACGAACAGATGAAATTTTTTTTTCTTCGTATTAGGAATAGTTTGTATTTTTTGTTATCGGAAATGCCGCCAAAGTTATTGAGACAACATTTGCAACTAGAATATTACGAAACGCAGTCTTGTTACAATAAAATTAATATTTCCCAAGAATGTGTTTGTGTGTGTACAGTTTTACTTTACGTATATTATATGAATACAGATAAACCTCAGACATGGTATACGAGACTTAACCGAATCACGGGAGACATGCACTGCGTGCGCGGGAACGATGATTCTAGAGATGGCAGCTCTGTCACGACTCACCGGAAACCCTATTTACGAACAGAAAGCGCATAAATCTATGGATCGTCTCTGGAAAATAAGACACAGGTACTCGAAAAATAAAGGCAATGGTCTTGTTTCCCGCTTGAGTGATCTTAATTGTCGATTTACCGATAATTTTTCGTTTTTAGTAGGTATACTACGGATACCTTGACATGATTTCTCTTTGGCAAGAACACTATAGTAAAAGTAGTGCAGACCTAATATTATGGATTTGTGATTAAAATATCGTAGCTTTTCGATTCTTTCAAATTACAATGGAGGAATAAAAATAAAACAATTGTGATGCGATACAATAGAGGTTTTAATCTCATGTCCTGATTAGGCGGTCGCAATGTGGTCTCTAGGAGGTCCTGTAAGGCTAGGGCGTTCGTCTTCAAAATTTGGCCTCAGTTATTGGCATCGGCTTACAATGGCCTGTATCAGTGGCATTACTGATGTCCCGAATGGATCTTGACTGCTTTTGGTGAACAAATAACGTGAAGAATATACAGCTTTATTTAGTCATACATCTCTTACTGGCCTCAACAGCATTGACATCTTCGTGAAATCATTAAGCACATAAATTGATGATTATTTTCAGAACCTCGGACCTCATGGGGACAGTTATAAACATTCACTCCGGTGACTGGGTTCGTAAAGATTCCGGAGTCGGTGCCGGAATAGACTCTTACTATGAATATTGCTTGAAAGCATACATACTCCTTGGTGATGAAAAATATCTTGCCCGATTTACTAGGCACTACAACGCCATCATGAAGTACATAAGTAGAGGTCCCGTAATGTTGGCCGTGCACATGCACCGGTAAGGATGTTTGATTCGTTTTTAATGTCATACAATAATATATCGATGTATTACTAGTGTTCGCGTAATGATCGGAATTCGATTATAATCACTGAAATCGCAAGGCATAGAATCCTTAGTTACCTGGTGGCTTCGAATGGTATTGATTCATGTGCTCCTGTGGGTGTCGTAAAAGGCAACAAAGGTGGATACTAGTGAATGGACGACGGCGCTATGCATATTAGCGTACTGCAATCTCATGTACGCTTGGTAGGGCTTGTTGTAAGGTTACCATCATCCCTATTATTCCACGAAGCCCTCGTGCATTCCTTTTTGAAGAGTGGAACAGCCCTTGAACTGAGTTTACCTCTTGTTTCAACGTGAGTGACGTCATTCAAGTTGTGATGATACCTATTGGATTCGATAATAATGTGGGCCGCGAGGTCGTTCACCCTTAAACGCAATAAAATAAAGTAATGTTTTAACATATCCGTTTTAATTCGATATTCACAAATTTGCACATTTCTCAAAGAAATAAGATAGAAAATCGCTTGACAAACTTGTATTAATTGTTTTACCTAAACTTATTATGTTTCAATTGTTTTTTCAGTCAGTGTTTATCTACTAAGCATAACCAACACCGAATCCACTTTTCACACGGATTCGTTTCAATTTTATTTTACGCTTAAGATTGCCGTAAATTACAATTTTATGACCAATAAAATTATTTCTACAAATCTTGTTTCAAAAATCGTCACAAATACATAAATAGGATACATCGGATCAATTATTTCTTGAAATTTTCAATACGAAAATGTTAAATTACGAACGTCCGACCAACGTTTAGTTTCGTCATTTAATTTCGTACACAATTTTCTTTTTTTTTGGTCATTACAGTAAGTACAGGGGCAGCCGATTTAACTTAATAGGAACCATACGCTCTAATAAAGAAAAAAAAAACCGTGCGCGTGCAACTTGGTGCACGTGAATGAAGTGAAACTTCTTTTTCGATCTGTAGTATTGTGGTTTTCTTAATTTTTTCGTTTCGTTTCATTTCGTTTCATCGAGTTTGAAATCAGAACGATTCTAAAGAAGTTTCACTTCAAAAAATATTAAAGCACAACACAGCAGGCAGCGGCTTGTTTCTGTCCCTGGCATTGCTGACGTCCATGAGCGACGGTGACCACTTATCAACTTATCATCACTTGGGCCGAATGATCGTCTGCCCACAAGGGCAATAAAAAAAACAGCCTTTATTATTATTTTATGGGGTAAAAACCGTTATCGTTGCGAATCGAAGTGAACAAAAGATATTGTATGTTTCAAGACCGCATCTCCAGTCCCGTAATTTCATGGATGCCCTGTTGGCGTTCTGGCCTGGGCTACAGGTACTACTGGGCGACGTCCGACCGGCCGTCGAAACTCACGAGATGCTCTACCAAGTAATGCAGAGGCACACTTTCATACCGGAAGCTTTCACTTCCGACTTTCAGGTATTCCATAGCCATTAAAACTATATAATAAAAAAAAAATCTATTTTATTAACCACTCGATTACTATTCTCAGAATACTAGCTGTACCCGTCCGCTTCGCTGGCCATTTAAAATTAACATTATTATTTCTCACCTCCACAAAGATTCTCATCATTAACGCCCCCGCAACTGGTGTAGGGAGTCCAACACTCATATAAATATTAGCCTATCCATTAAGTACATGTATTTTCTACATGGATACCAAGTTTGAAGTCAATCGGATGCATGGTTCAGTAGTTATAACGGAACATCCGTAAAAACCACTGTAGATTTATATATTGGTATAGATTAATGATTTATTTTAAAACACTGAATAAAATCTAAGGATTTTCACGTGAAAGAATACGTCAAGGTAAATCATAACATATAATTTCATATGTGAGTGATCGTTGGTATTCAACGTTATGATCAATGCTCATAGTATTAAACCTTTTGTTTGTCTTACCACAAATGACGTCACATGTAATTAACTAATTTTTGAAATAAGAGCAGTTCGTTTTCATGTTATAATTATGTTAAAAATCATTAGCATAGCATATAATTGGTTCTTTTGTTAAAAAAAGGAAAGGAAATTTAAAACGTTTACACAGATGTGAAGATTACACTTACACTAAAGTGAAAACGCGTTCGATACTTATTTTGATGTATCATATCGAGGGGTGAAAGGCTATTTGGTTTAAGCAACATTTCGTTTAATATCCGACATTTACCTTTGTAATTAAAGGTGCGTTTTATTTGGTATCAGCATTGACATATCGATGTTTTTAATTGAATTTCAAAATAGCTGAAGGAGTTTTTTTTTATATCGCACATACGGTGCGATGACGTCACTTATGCAATTTTTTTTTTTTTAGGAGTAACGTTTGAAAATTTAACATCTTATAGTTCTTATATAGTTCTCCTAGACTAAAGAAATAAAAACAATAATATCTCTATATATGTATATAAAAATGAATTGCTGTTCATTAGTCTCGCTAAAACTCGAGAACGACTGGACCGATTTGGGTAATTTTGGCCTTGAATTATTATTTGTGGAAGTCCAGAGAAGGTTTAAAAGATAAATAAATTTGAAAATACTCGGAATTAAATAAAAATTACAATTTTATTTTCCCTTTGATGTATCCCCCGTCGGACGGATTCCTTTTGTTTGTTTTAAGTTTATTTTATACAAAAGTTTAGGTAATTTATTTATGGATTGGGGCACTACGAAGTCTTTCACTAGCCGGGTCAGCTAGTTTAACCTAATACTTTAAACTTCATCTGTAAAAGCAGACATCTCAGTGATAACTATTAAAAAATGTATTTTCTCATACTCTCAGTTCTGTTTTCACAAAAATTGCATAAGTTTGTGCCCTTAAAAGCGCCGTATGTGCTATATATTTTTTCCAAATTTCAACCTTTCAATAGCTCTCCTGTAAAGTTGCAAAAATGTCGTTTAAACCAAACTAATGGTCCCCTGGTATTCGAAATTCGACTATAATTAATTGAAATTATAAGTTTACTCTATTTTAATATTACTCTATTCTCAATTTGACCACATACTATAAGCAATAAGAAAAGTTTGACAATAAACAAATAGTATGCATTCGTGTGTGTGTGTCAAATACGTAGTGTGTGCAATGGTTTTTTTTTTATTGATTTAATGTATTTTTTATGCATAATTAAAAAATATATTAACATTCTGCACTCCTTCTCTATATTCTCTACTAATATATAAATTTACAGTGGTTTTTACGGATGTTCCGTTATAACTACTGAACCATGCATCCGATTGACTTGAAGCTTGGTATCCATGTAGAAAATACATGTACTTAATGGATAGGCTAATATTTATATGAGTGTTGGACTCCCTACACCAGTTGCGGGGGCGTTAGTGATGAGAATGTTTGTGGGGGGTGAGAAATAATAATGTTAATTTTAAATGCCCAGCGAAGCGGGCGGGTACAGCTAGTTCTCTATAAATTTCATACTCCTCCGTCCGCGTAATTTTCGTAAAAAAGGGGTACAAAGTTTTTGCGTCACGTATCTATACTAATATTATAAAGAGGAAAGATTTGTTTGTTTGTTTGTTTCGAATAGGCTCCGAAACTACTGGACCGATTTGAAAAATTATTTTTCCATTAGAAACCGACATTGTCCCTGATGAACATAGGCTACTTTTTTTTTTTATTTTTTTTTTCATGTGTGTTTTAATGTTTCCGAAGCGAAGCGAGGGCGGGTCGCTAGTTAATAAATAAATATCTTTTCACTTCTCGATATATTGAAAGTTGTCAATTGTATTATGTATTGTGAGTGAGGTTTATGTTGTCAGGTGCACTGGGGACAGCATCCGTTGCGGCCAGAGTTTTTGGAGTCGACTTATTTCTTGCATCGCGCCACCGAAGACGATCACTATTTGCAAGTCGGCAAGACCGTGCTGAAAGCGTTGCAGCAGCACACGCGCGTGCCGTGCGGATACGCGGCCGTGAATGACGTCAGAACGCGCGCACACGAGGACCGAATGGACTCGTTCGTGCTCGCGGAGACATTCAAATACTTATACATGCTGTTCGGCGACGAGAAGGATTTCCCGATCAAACTGGAAGATTACGTATTGACAACTGAAGCACATTTCCTGCCGCTGTCGTTGGCAACCGTAGGAAAGAACACGTCGTATTTCACATTGAAGATCGACGATCCCGACGAAGATAAATATAGAAAGTAATGTATTCTATTTTCGAAGTTATTCTTTTTTTTTTTTGCTTACATGGGTGGACGAGCTCACAGCCCACCTGGTGTTAAGTGGTTACTGGAGCCCATAGTAGACACTTACAATGTAAATGCGCCACCCACCTTGAGATATAAGTTCTAAGGTCTCAAGTATAGTTACAACGGCTATCACACCCTTCAAACCGACACGCATTACTGCTTCGCGTCAGAAATAGACAGGGTGGTGGTCCTACCCGTGCGAACTCACAAGAGGTCCTACCACCAGGGATTACCCAAATTATAATTTTGCGGGTTTGATTTTTAGTCAACCGTGAACATTTGTAAAGTACGTCGGCGGGACTCGAACATCGGTGCATTGCTCGATACGAATGCGCCGGACGTCTTATCCTTTATTTCTTTATTTTATTTTTTCCTACCTAAGTTGAGAGCCTTGAGAGGCTATTTCAGCGTAACCTTAACTAGTAGGTGAGCTCACGGCGCTCAAACCTGACGATGTTGCTAACACGAACTCTAGCAAGAGCCGTGTTTTGCAGAATCTACCACCGGATCGGAAACGCGATGCACTAAGAAGATCCGGCGAGAAACTCAGTGGGCTGTGTCTGAGGGTTATCCTTTAGGCCACGACGATGCGTAAACGAATAATATTCTTTACTGTTCTAGAACGTGCCCGAATACAGCGTCGCTTGTGCCCGAGAAAGTACGTCAGCCGATGCGCCAGCTGCTGGGCTCGACCGCGGCGCGTCCGCCGGCGAGGCTGCGTCCACTCAATGACCCTCGCCAGATTAACGCTCTCTCCGACATGGGTATATCAGTACTGACTCTTCCCGATGGTAGAGTACAGCTGCTTTATACTATCAACACAGTGAGTATTGAGTTGATATTGTACTTGTATTGTTAGTATTTATGAATTTTTCGAAACTAGTGCAAATACCCAATTTTTTTTCCTATATGTACTTAATATTATAAAGCTGAATAGTTTGTTTGTTTGAACGCGCCAATCTCAGGAACTACTGGTCCAATTTGAAAAATTATTTTAATGTTAGAAAGCCCATTTATTGAGGAAGGCTATAATAGGCTATATAACATCACGCTAAGACCAATACAAGCGGAGCACCAATAAAGAATGTTTCAAAATCGGGGTATTTTTCCCTTTTGAGAGCTTCCGCTGCGTACGCTGCAGACACGATTAAAGTTTCGCTAAAATAATGTATGACAAAATTGTTCCCCTTTACAAGATCTAAAAAAAGTCCGCGACAGCATATGCGTATATGTTAAGGTTAACCAAACTTGTTCTAAAATAAATCACTATTTGTGAACTATTCCACGTGGACGAAGTCGCGGGCAAAAGCTAGTATCATATAACTAAAAAATATTGCTTATTACATTTTCAGGCTAAATCGGCGAAAGACGCCGCTGAAGGCTTGACGTTCATGCGGGAGATGGCCAAATGGAACTCGCTTAGTGATTTCGAAAACGGAGTCATACCGGCCGGTGTGAAAATCGACGATAAAATCTTTCCTGCCGGACCAGCGCACTTCGGGAAGGAAATAACAGGAAACGAACGCCACACAAACACCCTTACATTCGTGACCCCTATCGACGCGTGCACCCCTGTTGAAAACGAAGAGGAGATTTCGAACGGTTTCGGTATCGCGAAACGCGGCCATTGCACGTTCGCTCAGAAAGTGCGAAACATGCAAAAGGCCGGCGTCAAACTGGCCATCATAATAGACAACATTCCGGACTCGACACACGAGACGACCGCTCTGTTCGCGATGTCCGGCGACGGTAACGACGACATCGAAATACCCGCAGTTTTCCTGTTCTCGAAAGAAGGCGAATATTTATCGAACGCTTTAAAGAATAACCCCGAGCTCACCGTGACCGTGGGCGAACTTAAAAACTTAAAGAAGCACTACGATAATTCCTGCGATGAAGGCGGCTGCGAGGCCGTGGTCGATTCACAGAACTTACCGGCGGACAAAGAATCCTTCGATCATTTAAAAAAGGTTCTAAGCCAGTTGGTTGCTCAATTCGAATTGTCGCTCTCGAACGAAGAAGGTAATACGCAAAATTCATGCGCCGAAGAAATCGCTGAGAGCATTCACTTAGAGAAGGGGGAATTCGTTCATAACGTAGCCCGTAAAACAAGTTCTGTGAAAACCATACAGCAATCAGTTACCATCGAACCTGTGGGTCCGTCAGAAGTTGCACCGAAAGAAAGTGTTCAAGATACGGGTGAAGCAAATAAAAATAAACCCGATGAACTCTGACACACTCAATACATCGGGAACGTATGCGAATAAGAAAGAAAAATATATATATTGTAAACAAGATAAATGCTGTGTATAATATGTACATAATTGAATCTAAGATTTAATAACACTGTTAAGAATTTTCGTGCCTTTTAAGTAATTGCCACTTTAGTTGTTTTAATTTAAGAGCAATAAATATGATAAGAATTCTGGGAAAAAAATGAGATATAAATATATTTTTTTATGATTTTAACGTGATTATAGTTTGGCAGTATCGTTTAACGTTTTCAATTAAAAAAACGACTGTTTCTCAGACAACGAAGCAGTGCGAGAGGGGTGACAGTTGATTAATAATAAACATGAAAATTAACAAATTTAATTGTTACACAAAAAAGTTTAAGAACAATATAATTTACTCAGTAGGTACTATATACTTGAGAACTACTATTGAAATATTTTAAATAATATGTCATAAAAAAAATTTTCGTCTTTATTCGTTCTTATATTATAATCTCGTCGATAAACATTTTAATTCACTATTGTTTTGTTGATGGCAAGACATATCTCGTGTTGCCGATTAACGTATAAATCGGATTAACACACCCCTATCGCACTAACATCGTTGCACATTTAATTAACATCAAATAAATTATATAATAGATATATGTAACCATCATTTTAATGAAAATTGTTACCCTGTGTTATAAAATAGTGTAAATAATTCATTTTTTTTACACCGAATCGGATTTACGGGGTCGTACAAAACTAGCAATTGTACATACAGCCACAGTTTTTATTAATATTGTGTGCAAAATGGATAAGACCATGACTATACTATAATCTAAGTTGTAAATATATATTAATATACCGATTTATTTAATTATCTACCGTTTTATTGTACTGGAATTATCAGCGTCAAATGTTCTCAGTACGTTTGTTGGAACATTCCACATGAGTTTTTGTTTTTAGAATTATGTTTTTAATCTAATATAGTCGCAACTATTTCTCGACATGAGGTGCATAAAGTTGGATCTATTTTTTGCAAAAACAATTTTGGAATTGATTCATTCGGTTTCTAGGTACGCGGTTTTAGTAACTTGGTTTTTTCATATAATGAAAACTTAACGTAATTTTAACAAAATAAAAAGTCTGATTAAAAAATGCGCACGTGGGAAAAACATATGACAGTACTTACATAGGTAACTTTTGTTCTTATGGCCTATTATTCTGATCAGGATAATAAGGACAAAAATTATTATTATGTTTTATTTGGTTTTTAAACAATATATCTATTGTTTTCTTGTCTAATATTGACACCATAAGTGGTATAATTGAGTCGTCTATTATCAAAGGTGGCAATCTGTGCATTTGGACAAAAAAAATTTATTGATATGTCAATACAGATTGATTTGAATATAATCGTCTCCCTCAAAGAATACGGTTCAAAACCTGCATTAAATAAAGGTTAATACTTAACTTGTTATTTATCTAAGATGTCGTTCAGAAGAGTTTTGTGACTGCCAATAGAATACAAAGTCAATAATTCGTTTTTCTGATTTACCAATAATTGTCCAAAAGTCACATTGCCGGCTTTGATAATAGTCGACTCAATTATTGGTTGGTATTCTTTTTATTATTTTACCGAATTACCGATAAAATCTCGATCATCTAAACTTATAGACAATTTAAATACTACCCATGTTGAACCATGTAGAAGTAATCTAATGTTTGCTTCATAGTCAAAACATAGGTAAACTAAAAAAAAAACTAAAAGTAAACTACGCTCTTTTGACAGTATTTACTATAAAAAAAAACTGGTGATATCAAATATGATTCCGCATATTTACTCAATTTCAAATATTTTTTAAAATTGTACACTTTTAATGCGAAAAGACGATTTGTTCAACTTAAAAAAAGCTTTGTCGCTCTTATGTCTAGATCTGTTGCGACAGGTTAAAGTGCAAAATATATTTAATTTTGTGATTCAGATGTTTTTTTGTTTGTTTGTCATAATAAGTACTTATCAGCAATTACAGTGAGATATTTTTGTTTTGTTCAATTTATTATAGTAACTGACCCAATACACATAGATTATATCGAGAGGTGAAAGGCTAGTTGGTTTAAGCGACATTTATCTTTGTAATTAAAGATCCGTTTTATTTGATACTAGCGACCCGCCCTCGCTTCGCTTCGTAAACTATGATTTATTATTGATTTCTCCACTATTTAATGGATGTTATTATACATATTAACCTTTCCTCTTCAATCACTCTATCTATTAAAAAAAACCGCATCAAAATCCGTTGCGTAGTTTTAAAGATTTAAGAATACATCGGGACAGACAGATTATATAGGGACAGAGAAAGCGACTTTGTTTTATACTATGTAGTGATTAGTATCAACAATTCGATGTTTTTAATTGAACTTCAATTCTGTTCACACCATTCAAATAGCTCAATATGTTTTTTATTATGTTTTTTTTTTCCAAATTTTAAAATTTAAATTACTCTTTTGTATAGTAGCAAAAGTGTCACTTAAATGAAATAGCCTTTTACTCCTCGTTATGAGAATGGGTTTTGTTCAAATTATTTAGTATTTTGGTTAAACCAGGTATGTAAGTAGTTAATTAGATATTTTCATATCGAAATTATAAACTATGGTATAAGGAAATTGACCATTATTATGTATTTTTATTCATGATATAAATAAATTAGTTAATTTTTTCGTAAAGGTTTTAAACTTTACTTATTTTTTTATTGGGTCACTTAATATAATGTAGTTTAAATTGTCCTGTTCAATATTGGGAAAATAACAATTTTTTTAGTGAAAATTAACAATTTAGTGAATTTTTCATTTTTATTTTAAACATTATAAAAGTTTTTGTGTATATAAATTATTACAGTAAAAATAAATATATATTATTCGTGATATTGTTTATTAAAAAATACATAATTTGTTAATAAAGTATTATGTTTAAATATGTGTTTTAATGTTATTTGATTGATGCCATTATTTTCAATATCAAGCTTATTAATAGCAGCAAGCGGCAAAAAAAGAACTATTTTTAGGAGATAATTTATTAAAAAGTTTCGCATTGAGTACAAAATTACTATACGAGGTGTAAATAAATAATATTAACTCATAGTCAATCCTATTATCAATCTCGAAAATCTGATATGTAGATAGAAATCGATTAAATTTAACTTGATGTTACATGTAAGCCGATTTCAGGGCTGATTTGAGTCTTCGAGGTTGTTGAGGACTATAATCCGGCGCCGGTAGCGGGGGTCCTGTGTTAGCAGTCCATTCCCTACGCCACCGAGGGTCTTCTTCGGGAGAAGTCGATGGCCGCACAGGCACCGTTCGTTTGATCTCCTCCAAGTAGGAGAATGGACGACCACTTTGTGCCGGATCGGGGACGGAACGGCTGTGATGCCACGAATCAGATCGATCGAACGATCGGCTGTTGATAAAAAACAAACATAATAAAATCATCATATCATAAAAAAGTACTTTCTTTGGCTTTTGCGAGTCATCGACATAATTATGACTACTGTTCAGGGCCGCGCCGCCCTTGTGTGCGAAGTGTGCGGTGCACACAAGTGTCAGGGCAATAAGGGCACTGCCACCGAAATTATTTATTTTACACAACAACAAATTCTTTGTAGTGGAATACCGTTAAGTAAGGAGGTACAATAGCCCACCTGGTGTTAAGTGGTTACTGGAGCCCATAGACAACCACAACGTAAATGCGCCACCTACCTTGAGATATAAGTTCTAAGGTTTCAAGTATAGTTACAAACTTCCGTGATGCGACAACCTACGTAAGTTTAAAAAATGCATTATGTTCTCATTAATTTATTGGAGTCATAGAGAAATTTATTTTGAAGACCCATTAAACAACCCGGTCACATTATCTCTGGACCTGGGGAAAGGGAAACGGGGCTTCAAATTCCAGCGAGGTCCAGAGATGATGTAACCGAGCAATACCTACATACGGAATTTTACTTGCGGTAGTTTTGTTTAAGGTACATATTTATTTATATTTTTATAGGTTTTGATTGTGTCTGTAATTATAATCTATGTATTGGTATTTTTTTATGAAATTGTATTTTACCTATACCATAGACAATAATTTTCTCTTTTTTATATTTTAAAACGCATACATAGACGGGCTACTTGTATTTTTGCGTCGTAATATCTAAGTCTCATTATGTTTTGCCGAGTAGCCTTCCGTCATTCACCTAGGACAATGTCATGTCAGTTACTGTTCAGTTTAACAAATTTATAATATTTTCTGCTCATGTGAACATTCCGTTTACGTAGCAAGAAAACAAAACATTTCCTTTAGCAAACTTTAGCCTTTAGTCTCAAATATTCGATTACATTATATTATGTATTAATGATCAAGTAATTAATAAAAAAACTCACTTGGACGAATTCTCGATTCTTATTGGATCCCGTGTTGGGATACGTGGCAGCTCATCGTCGTTATTGAAGCCGTGGTTGACTTGCATACTGTAATATGTTTTGTTTCATTTAAACTAACGGACAGGTTACAAGGCAGTTTGAGTAGCCTTAAATCTATAATAATCTTCAGGTTTTAGCTTACTAGGTCACAACTGGTCACCTTTTCGTTTAACCTACAGATTATATTACTATGCTAAACCAATATTTTTTAATCTTGACTAGAATCCACGTTTTGAATGCTGACAAACAAACTAGCACTCAGACGATTCCAACATCCTTACTGCGCTAATTTTAGACCGAGACAAAGATTTAAAAATAAATATGAATGAATTACAATCTAAAATGACATAGGGAAGAGGAAGATATTATGCTAGGGTGGGTAATCTACCAGACTAAATCTAAGAAGAAATTCATTAAATAACTTTACCTTCTTACAAAAGGTGGATACGTCATGTCTGAATACTGCGGTCGTCTCTCACCCTCATTTATTCTTCTATTTGTCCTTTAATTGAAATTCATTTATGATTCTTCTGTAGGTTGTATTTTATAGCGATAAACAAAATATTTTACTTACTCGAATGCGTTCAATATGCCCATTTTGTGTATTGAGTGCTATAAACAGGTACAATGAAAATTAGTAGGTACATAAGTATAAGATATAATATAAACACTTACAAAGACCATCGTTAAATACCGACCAAGAATACTAGAAAACAGAAGGCGATCAAATTCAATTAAATCTTAAAAAAACTCATAAGCCACTACCATAAAATTACGAGGTAAAGTAGAAAAAATACAGCTGCATTAAAACCAATGATTTATTTGGGAAAATCCGGGAATGTATTTGAAAAACCTCCCTTATTACGTAAAAACGTCTTAACTGATTTCTGATTTCCTTCCAAGAAGAAGATCCTTGTTTCATATTATGCTATTATGTTCATTTTAATAAAGATATAATGATACTTACCTCATTTTTTTGCAAAGCGCTTCCATATTCCAACGTGTACATAGCCAGAAGTATTATCAACACAAGATTGATTACGTGATACACATATCCTTTTAATACTATGGTCATTAAATAGAATGCACCTTGTCGCGTGATTTCTTTTGCGTAAATACTGCCCAAATTCCCGTCAGAGGCATCCTGTCGGAGACATTAGAGAATATTGATGAAAAACTAGAAAAATGTACCTAAGTTAAACCTAAATGCTCTGATACATTTAATATTATAAACATGTATAGAATGAACCAATTACAAAAAATTAATGCCTTGCTTCCTTGGCGTAAAAAGTAACTGTAATTTAGCATACAAGTAATTAATGGAAACAAAGTTATGGAATATAATCGGACCGTAAGTTTATATTCAAACATACATTAGTTGTATTGAAATTTATTGTATTAAAATTAGAGTCCAAATTTGAAACACCACTTATTAAACTAAATTTAAGAATAAATGAATAGCTTTTATCGAACACGCACATTTAATATTAAAAATGCGATTAACTTAACATTTATTTATCATAATATAATATTTATTTATTAATAATCACAGTATAGCTGTACAGTATAGCAGTATACCTATGTAGCTATACTTTAATTTCTATGTAATGTTAAGTTCTATGTAAATTAAATTTTATTCATTTTATTCTGCTTATTAAATTTTTTTCTATTTATATTCTGTATTGAAATTCTGATTAGGACTATTTACTTACGTGTTCCCAATTACTTCTTACATCCATTGTTTATACTAATTTACAGAGTTCAATCTTTTACGATTTGAAACGAATTAAAAATTCATAAAGTACTTACCAGTTGGTCGCTAAGGGTTTTGTAGTCAATGCCAAAGTAAGTTCCAAATGTAAGGTCCACAATCAAGGATAGTAAGCTAACTATAATATATCCGTAGACAGCAAGATTGACATACTGAATCCTTTCATTGTTCTGTACCACTTAAATATAACAATTATTCATAGTTTTAATTAAGCAGAATTTAAGCTTAGCTTTTTAAAAACACAATTGAAAATAGGTTTTTCAGAAAATTCTTGTTTAGATGACTTTACCTGATGTTAAAAATCCAGATACGATTAATAAGACGATTGAGATAGCTAAAGTGATAGCGGATAATATGAACACCGTTCCTGAGGTGGTCAGATCCTCTGCGTATATAGACTGGTCACATCCTTCTGCAATACTTACAAAATATTACTTTCCGTTAAGAGTTATTATTTTATATTAATTGGCATCTCATTGTCAATGTAAACAAGAAACGTAAGTTCATACTTAGGTCGAAATAAATACAATGAAACTTAAGGTAAAAAACTCAAAATATACTTTGACAGCTCTCTTATGCTGGTTCCATGGGACGAGTTTACCACTTGCCATAAAATGTACAGGATTCTCGATGCTCAAGAAACTGAGGATAGCCGAATTTAGTCACTATGGGAACATACCAACATGTGGTAGATATTCCAGTAACGTAAATGTCACTTAAAGCAGAATCAGAACACTCAATTGTAGGTACGTATAAATAAATGAGCAGCCTTATTCTTATGACGTCTTTTATTAAACTCTGGATTACAATGACTAAAACAAACAATGAATACGTTGACTAATAAAAGATAAACAAAAATAGACTAGGTATTTGATAAAAAGAAAGGAATGCAATACTCCTACGTATTCATTAAAAAAAAACCGAAAGATAAAACAACTAATGTCACACGTAATCTACAAACGGATTATTAAATTTATAAAGGTAGTGGAAGACAGTACTGAATGAATACTACGTTTGAATTTTTTTACTGGAAATAGTGATTGAGCTCTTCTGACATTTATCTAGTGAGCTTTCATAGCTTAGCAGTTGTGATAGAACCGTAGTAAAGATAGGGATGGAGTATTTACCAAAAGTTCGGTGGTGCCACGAACCAAGATTGAGACGAAAGAAGCTTTTGTCTTAAATAAGTTGGCGTGGAAGATACAATATAAAGTAGGTACATGAGAGTAGGCAAAATGCGTAAGCATTTGGGAGCCACACAACATTTTGTTTAAAATAGATGTGATCACGCACACATAAGCCAAACATAATTATTAAAGATTTCGAAAGTTTTCACGCTTCTTTTATTTCAGGAATAACAGACTTATGATAACTAATATTCGGCACAGTCGAGAATTGGTAACTAATAGGCGATATTTCCTAACGACGACTATAGACATGTTATGTAAAATTTTCAACGAACATGCTGCAGTAAATGTAGTTATAGTATCGTAGCATCATAGTTTTAAATCGATAATAACACCAGCGGTTAGACAGCGAATATCTACAGCTAAATGTTTAGATCTGAAAATAACTCCTGCATTTATGAAAAGCTCACACACAATGGTACACACACACACACACATATCTGAGTACCTATCATGAGTACCTACATATCCTCAGTCAAACAATATAATTTTATGATGTTATTTTGTATGTGTTTTACAAAATATTTATGTAATTGTGAAATACGTAGGTACATTCTCGTTAAATCATTATTGCAAAATACCGTTTCGAATAATTTTTTTTTTTAGTAAAGTAATTAAATGATAACACTTTAACATAATACCTTCCCTTATTGTTATAATGAATGAATAGGAATGTTTGAAAACCCACCTTGAATATATAATCTATAAAGGTGAATCCAAAATAAATCCGAATTTGATAAATTCTCTGGTAAACCAATGTGGCAATTACTTCTGTAAATTAATGATAATGCACTGAGAACTATGTAAGATATTGAACATACCTGAAACAATATTGATTTTATTACTTATAACTAAACATAAGTTGAGTTCATTTCGCTTATTGTCGATCGATGAAGCTTTTATAACGAGCGTGGCTTTTTAGTTATTATGTGATGCGTTTGTCAATACTCACTATTGTTATGCCGCTGGTCAGCAGAGCGGTAAGGACCAAATTGACCGGGAGCTGTTTCCTTGTTGGTCTGAACATTATGAAGAATACTGTCTACAATGAATGCACGTCATGCCGAGCAGAATTCATTTGTGAAGGAACAGTTGAAGATATCGAACCGGTAATCGCACCATGATAATTGTTATCGGTATTAATGTTGAACAATATCTGTATGAACGATTCGAGGGTGACGTGTTTTGATGCGAAAACATAGGCGGAAGGTAAACTCATTCGTATTAATATACATTTTAGACAGGGAGAGCTACTTTGTAAATATAATTATAGATAGTATGAATTGTAAAAATATTATTATGATACCAGTTCCATTATTTTTCGATTACACAGCTCAGATAAAGTTATTCGATTACTTTTAAATTTAATCATGCTTGAGCGAAGAATTCAAAAGAGAAAATGTTGAAGCATAATCAGTAATTAGTTGAAGAGTTATTAAAAATTTCACACTGGTTAATTAAATAGGTATCTACTCCTACTACTACCACTATTGATTGATATAATATAATAATAATAATACTTTAAATTTGATAGGTATCGATCGTGTATGTGAGAATAGAATATCAAAATTATATCTTTTGTAAAATATTAGATAGAGTTATGACACGAAAATAGCGCTATTTGTAAGTTTGATACAAGGACTTGCAATGGCTATCATTAATATAGTACATATAATTACTATGAGATAAAACGCTCGGTGACAGCATGATGTGTGTTGCTGTTTATATTACTTAATGAATAAATGAGAACATTGGCATGTATCTAAATGAAAATTAATGTTTGTCTTTGTGTATCATTTTGTTTGTAACAACCATAAAGACTTTTTGCCGTTGAAAATGGCGTTGAAATGGCTTAAGTGGCGCGAAAGTCATTTCAACAAATTTAATATAAAACTAGGTATCTTGTTTTTAGTTATTTAGTTAAAGCAAATTGAGGTCATGTATTACTAACTACTAAATATGTATTATAACACAAATACAAAGTACATAGTATCGTGTATCATAATAATAACACAGCCAATAAAATATGGTATTTATGTTTGTGCCTATCTGTTCTCATTATCTTTAGTTAGCGTGCTAATTAGAACAAAGAGAAATATGTGTTGTTGTCTATAATTTAATTAGAAGACGTAGTTATTACGCAAAACACAAGTTATGTGTCTGTTTTTAGTTATTTCATTATGAATTTAGGAAATCGAAAATATGGGAATTCGAGTCTGAATAAGGAAATTTCATATTAGTATTAAAATGTGACTTTGTATGTTCATTGCTGTTCACAAATTTTGACTAATAATAATATCCAAATCAAAGGAGTTTTCAAAGTAAAAAGCTATTCTTAAATCTTAATTTATTTTAAATCTAAACACAAACAATAGTTTTTTTTTCATAATCAGACAAATGTAAGTAAATCACATCTTAGAAATTCAAAAACGCTTGCATGACCGCTTTCCTATTTCTCTAATTTTAATAGAAAAATGAAAACTGTCCCATGGGGCATTGTAGAATTTTATATGGGGGCAAACTGAGGTACCCAAAGCATATTATATCAATATTGTTACATTAACATTTGTCTGTTAACATTTGTCTATAATAAGTACAAAACCATAAATATAGAAACTTAATACTAAACACATCCCAGTTGAAACAAAGTTGCAGATCGATAAGATGCAATGATCGCTAAGATGGTTCTCCATGATTTTTTAATAATAGCATTTAATTTTTTTATTGCGCAATCGGACCCCTTGCATCTTATACTTTAGGCCGCGACTGTTCATATTTACTCCTGAAACGAGTAACTTTAATTTTTTTACTTTGTTACTTGAAATTTGCAAATAAAAAAATCTTATTTCTTTCGTGGTTTTTATAACTAAACCGATCAATTTTAACTTGCACAAAAACGTTATGTTGCTTTTAGAACATTAACATTATTATCGAAATTTATTTAACAGAGATATTTTTAACAGTCTGCTGTAATATCTTATAAAATAAATCTGTTTTATACATGAATTAATATCCGTATGAGGATTTGCTTGCTAACATCGCTTGAAGCGATACGTGTTATCTAATCCATATACATCAGTATGTTAGATACAATAATGTATGTAACAATGGTAAAATAATCGCAGATAAATGTTTCTTTTCAACATTCCTTATAGTTGAATCGAGACAGAAATATTAAACATAAAGTATTACACTTTCTTTGCTGCATTGATAATAAACATTAAAACTTAAACAATGTAGTCTCTGTAACTAATACAGTAAACAAGCAGATGCGAATATTGATTGGGCATTGATAACCTATCCGCCCTCTGTATATATCGAAGACGCCACTTGCTGCAAGGACCTGCCTCATTATTTACTAGACTTAATACATAAACTATGATAATATCATGTGCTACATTGTGGCTGACAACAATGTTTCAAAACCACAGCATTATCAAACGTATCTTAAATGACACTAGTCCTATTTTTGCACGGTAGTTATCTCGATATGTTTACGTAATTAACAGCAAATAATCAGGTTAGGTATATAAAGCAAATACTAATAATATAATTAAATACAAAAAAATATAAACTTAAACGAATTCTGTAAATTCAAGTTGCAAAAATAAACTTAAACTAAAGACGAATCTGTGCTACAATGAAATTATAGCACAAATTTGATAAGTTTTATTTACGTCACGTTCTTCGTTTAGTGATTACTTAGAATTTAATGAAGCTGTTTATTCCATTTTTAAATCGTTGAACGCGGTCATTTATCGTTCGTTTCTATAAAAATTGGCAGAAGCTGAAGATGGGATCCGGTCTTGAATTTAGCTGGTTTCGCCGGGGCCTCGTGCTCTAGTACAATACATCAGATTGAGTTAGTGCCGCTGCAAAGAAGTACACATAAACATTGTTGTTTTAATTGTTGCAACATTTATTATTGCAACAAAAGATATTGAAAATTGGTGTTGCACGTACTTATAAGTACCTATGTATATTTAGTAGCGCAGGCGCGAAATAATTATATTCGATTTTGTTATCGTTCTTGTGTCATAATTTACTTTATAAAAATTCAGTTTAATTCATCATTAAAGTAATTTAATAGTAACTTTCAACGAAACAGCTTACTGAGTATTTTCTTAGGTTTTCGCGAATCAGAAATAAAGTACTTTTACGATTTAATTTCTCGTTTATTATTAAATTTTATTCTTTCCTAAGGTTTTGTGGTCACAGACGACTGGTGTGTTAGACGTCAACATTTGATAGTAGTACTATCGACTGTCAAATAAAAATAAAAATGATATTTACGTTTCTTTGCACACATAAAGAACTCGATAGTGTTGAGGTTTGACACTTTGCTTGCCTTGAGGTTTCGTCTTCACGACAAGTGGATTTCAGATGTTAGAAAACCTAACTAAACCTACCAACCTCACTATTTAGTTTTTCCTATTAAATTTTAGTCTTCATTATTGATAGTAATGTAAAAAGAACACGATAGTGGTCCGTGATCACGAAAATTATAAACTACACAAATCGTAAAAACAATAAGAGCAAGATTAAAATGTAAAAGAAGTTTACCAATTTACTGTATGACTTTAATTTAGTTGCTCTTAATCAATAATTCAGGAAATCTAAGATTTAAAAAAAATAGCCACAATACATTTCAGCTTCAAAAGTAACGAAAGGATATTCTGATGTATTACTTCTATTCTACAGTATTTCAATAAACTATTCGATAGTTGAAATATGACCTAACTCATTTTGTATCGCGTATCATTGTGCTTTTATATACTTACTAAACTAAAATTACTGACACCTCAAGGTTTTGATCCATTTTATGTTATATAGTTTCGTTAGTAGTTATAATTATCAATATTTCGAAATATAAATAAATAATAATAAAAATAGAGCTTGTCAATATTTAGTAGATAAAAAAATTAAAATCGTTTGACAAAAAGAGGCGAAAATGGAATGTTGAATGCCAAATGGTTTGGTCTTTATTTATATACTAGCTGTACCCATCCGCTTCGCTGGGCATTTAAAATTAACATTATTATTTATTGTCATTATTATTAGGTCCAACACTCATATAAATATTAGCCTATCCATTAAGTACATGTATTTTCTACATGGATATCAAGTTTCAAGTCAATCGGATGCATGGTTCAGTAGTTATAACGGAACATCCGTAAAAACAACTGTAGATTTATATATTAGTATAGATATACATAAATATGTACTTACGACGAGACGATTGGGATAAAGCATAATCTTTTTTCTGGGTCAACGAACTTAGGCTGGATGCGGCACGGTGAACCGCTGTAAGGAATAAAAAGATCATTTTATTATATTGTACGCACCAATACGTTTATCTTGTGACACCAAAAGCATATTAAAGCGTTTTAATTATTATTATATGCGTTGTTAAAATGAACCAAATTCGCTATTAATACTGTTAGTGGAATTAAAATGAACGATGCATCAATTTAAGGTTCACTAAAATGAATTTTACGATACAACATGTGGGCCGTGATAAATATAATTGTAGAAGACATTTTTTTAACGATAGAAAATGGGAAGCGTTGTACAGAAAATAAATACAAACATGCTTTTCTGAAAGGCTGGATTGCTGTGTAATCGGGCAGCGGCACCGGGGGCAAATCTTCATCGGGAGGCAACTGATCTCTCATGCGGTGAGCAGAAGCCGGTATATACGCCCACGGTAATTGACTTTGAAGTTCTGCGGTCGTGCCTCTACGACTGTTCAAAATTACTTAGTTTTAATATTAATTAGCGACCCTCGCTTCGCTTCGGAAACTGTAATTTATTATTGATTTCTCCACTATTTAATGGATGTTATTATACATATAAACCTTCCTCTTCAATCACTATCTATTAAAAAAAACCGCATCAAAATCCGTTCTGTAGTTTTAAAGATTTAAGCATACATAAGGACAGATATAGGGACAGAGAAAGCGACTTTGTTTTATACTATGTAGTGATTATAAGCGCTGCATTGTAAGCCCCTATATTAGTTTTAAATATTTAGAATGTGTTAATTTAATTTCAACGAGTATTCTAATAATTAAATACATACAAAATCAATTTGAACTAATTTTTTTTGAGATGGATGGATTGTTGATGTTCCAGGGATATTGTCGCATAGCTAGGACTGTTGGTAAGCCAGGAAGTCAATTAAGACAAATCTAAGAAACCAGAACCGGATTAATTTCATCATCATCATCAGCACATAGATGTACACTCTGGACATAGGCTTCCCGAATAGAAGGATCGCCGTAACGTCCGGTTTTGCGCAGCCCGCGATCATTTGGATGAATTTTGTGAAAGGAAAAAGTAGTTTAATGGAGGCATTCAAAAGTTTGCATACCCATCTTGCGTTACGTAGGATTAGCGATAGACAGCGTTATTGACTGCGCGCCTGGCGTTACCAATGTCTATGTTCAACAATTAATCTTTACCTTCATATGCTCATCTGCCTTCGAAGGCATTAAAAAGATTGACTATACCAGCTTTATCTAGCATCGACCTCACATTATTATATTTTTATCAGGATTAAACAAAAATATCAGGTTTTATGATAATACAATGATTAAATACATAGACGTTTCCGAGTTAGTCGTATTTTGCGAATGCCTGGAATGCATATAATAAATAATCCTTTATCTGAAAAGACCGGAAGCTAAAGTCGTAATGGATTAAAAACCCAGTAAATAAACACAAGTTTGTTAGAATAATTTAACCGATAATGTTATAACGACTGTCCAAGCACTGTTAATATTGGTTAGAGTAATACTTCTGTATTGTAATATCCTACGAGTATTACCCCTGTAGGTTCGGTACATCCGGTTGAGTTTCGGTAGTAAGCTGTGGCATGGATTGTGAAGTCCTTGGGGGACTGTGGCGGCCAGCAGTATCAATCACAGCTTTATCAAGCCTCCTTTGTTGTTCTGCTATCATATTCTCTAATCGTTGAGGTAAAGACAGCAGATTTTCTGGGAAATTAACGGCACGTTTCTTGTCCAACTCTACATGTTGAGCTTGAGGTGACCTGCAAAAAAAAAGGTAGAGAAAAGATATCTATTTTCATATATTTAATATGTATATATATATATGTTTAAAAACTATTATTGTAAATGCGAATGTGGATTAGTTTGTTTGTTAGTTATGCATCCAAGTCTAAACGACCAATACTCATAAAATTTTGCACGCACGTTATCAAACGTAGAAAAAAGGACATAGGGTATCATTCATCCAAAAAAAATACTATTCCTGGAGACAGATTTTTTCTATACATACGCCTATAAAAGCTTTAAAAGTAGTCTTTAAAATATATTATGTTAAAACAAAATAACAAACCTGTTTGGCGATCCATCTAAGGAACCAGGGTTTGATTTACTACGAACATCGGGAGACTCAGATCTTTTAAATAATAGAGTTTTCATACGACGAAAGGATTGACTTATTCCCGGTCGTGGTATCTTAGTAGACTTATCACTTGGCATGCTCGCTTCTTCAACGTCTCTGCCGCTGGTTGATGCAATGCTCGTTTGAGTCTCCGCTTGCGTTGCAGTGGCGGCTTGCAGAATAGGTAGAGGAGGTGGAGGAGGAGGTGGGGGAGGGGGTGATGAAACCACTGAAACATCCGCTTCCGTCTCTGGAGGAGCTTCCACTTGCTACAAAATTACAGATAACAACAATTAGTTCAAATTTACGTGAATTTTGTGGTTTCCATCACTAAGCTTAATTTGAAATAAGTTTCTGTATTAAATATAACTTTTGAGATAATCTGTATGTACGTCAGAATGAGATCTAATAGAAAGATAATATAAAAAATAACCCACTCCCTAAAGAAAAGAAAAAAATGTTTTCTGCGAAACTTTTGGCTGTGTCCCAAAATTATGAGTGATATAGTGATAATCTCGATTTAAAAAACAGTATGATTACTAGTTTCAAAAGGTTCCATTATTTTAGTTTCATTGCACCCACATTATAAAGAAAAAAATACTATGCGATTGAGTGATTAAGAAAAAACCAAATGTATTGTAGGATAAAGTATATATATTTCTTTTGGTTTGCGTAAAACATTCGATATGGAAATTTACTTTATTTTAACAAATTTATTGAACTCTAATTGATGAAAGATTTCTATCATTTGAAAAAGACCGAATTAACTCAGATAGAATAAATGAAGACGGAATAATTAACAAACATGCTCCAATACCGTCATCGTCCCATCCCATTATCGTCAGTAAAAACCAAAACCAAAATCACCAATGCCCTGCGATATTTCATCATATCTATTTAAAAATCATTTATTGAGAGTTGTAGTATCTAAGGTTGTATTAAGCCATAAAATGATGGGTTTTAAACTGAGAATGTTTCTAGCTTAGTTCAATGTTAGTATTGACAAATATACTACTACAGACAAACGGGTAGATTTGCGTTATGTCGAAGGTAATGTAAAAAAAAAAACTTACAACAGAAGTAGAAGACAAATATTTTGTTCGCTCCGCGTTGCAGTCGACTACTACTAGTATGATCATAAACATATTCAGGATAAACAGTACGACCAGTCTAGAGTAAATGATAACCATTAGCCAGGACGCCCAAGCTGTGCTTATATTGACTCCTCCGGCACCACTGACCATACCGCCTATGAAGTTCATCATATCGGATAGTGTCTGGAATTAAGTTAAATTGCTTAGAGTGAATAATTGATACAAAGAATACTTTATCTATTTTAAATTTTCATAGTACTCAAATTGAAGAGATAAAAACACCACACATAATTTTACACCGCACTTACCCGTGTATGAAAAGTGTCGTTGCAATAAGTAACTGTAGCTACCAGATCAAGTAAGCACACCGATACAGTAACGAACGTCCACGGCCAACGTATGTGCCTGGATTTTGTGTTTTTCGCTCCACCCACTGTTAAACGTTTGATGTAGTTAGATAGTTTTCGAAATATTTAAAACAATAAAAAAATAAGAAAAACATTAAGCGCAATTGTCCCAACTTACAAAGTCGCGGTTACTATGCTCAATAGCCAAACCGAAGATGAAACAAATCTATTTACAAAAGTACCTTCGTGTTTTAATTTGTTGGTACTTTGTAATTTGTTTCGCCAAATTGCTTCATTAGTATCGATATGTCTACCGCCGATATTTAATTCTTAGCTACATCCTTTAATACAATTATAGACCAACTGTTAATAGCAAGATATTGTTGAACTACAGAGTGAATATAGTCAATGCTACGCTAGCTGCATTCAGATCATCACTACAATTAGACTCCAATCAAACTTTGAGATCAATTTAATCAATAATATCCCAATTTTTTTTTAAATATTAATTTATCCTATATAGCGAAATTTGAAATACTTACAAAATATAAAATATTAAAATCTTCAACTAACTGATACTTACTCATGAAAAAAACACTGGTTATAATCCATAGAATACTCAGACCAAGACTAGTGCTGTTAATGACAAATGTTCTGAAAGCGGTGAAAGGTTCTTGAGTGAGTAAGACAAAGGCCTGATTTGGGATACCTTCGATAGTATATCCTATGTTGATTCTGTTACCACACACATCAGGATCTGTAGAAACAGAGCTTTGATTAAAGCAGTGTTGCACATATCAAAGTAATTCTAAATTACTTCCCTATATTAATGTTTTTGACAGTTTAGATTCACACACCTCTAGTCCTGAATTGGTCGAAAGAATGGTAAATACGAACCTTCGGAACGGAAATATTTTAATAAAACAAAAACAAAATATATTTTATGGAATCATCGTAACATAAAGGATAAATGCCCCATAAGGTACTCATATCACCCGATGCAACTATACCGGTGTTCAAGGCAAGTACCAATTTATCTAAAGCAATACACGTATGTAACAAGTTCATAAATGATTAAATAAATGCAAAAAAGTGCGAATAGTTCCACATTAAGTTCTAATAAAAAAATCTTACATGTGCATAGTATTTTTTCTAATTGGTCAATATCGGTAAGACGGGACAAACTGAAGCAAATCTCTGATTTATCTCCAAATAACAAACCACAAGTTTTTGTGTTATATTATTATATTATTCCAAATCAATTATTTAACTCAGCTTATACTTACTATAAAAGTACAATATTTTTATGTAAAGTAGAATGGGTATTTCTCTGAGGAAATCAATAAGGCAGAAGTATTGCGAAATTGCCAACGATGTGAATATCAGCTGTCCTACGGCTTGGACCTGAAAAGGGAAAGTAAAAAACGGGCATTTTACATTTTCCTGTCGTAAGTCTATTTAGTTGTGATGCAGCGTAAGCGTTGCTTACTGACGAAAAGACAGCTTGTCCGCTATATTTTTTTTATTGCCCTTGTAGGAAGACGAGCATACGACCCACCTGATGATGAGTGGTTACTGTCGCCCATGGACTTCAGCAATTCCAGGGGCAGAGCCAAGCCGCTGCCTACATTCCGGTTATTTTCCTGTTCGATCACCTATTTTTATGCCTATTTTTTGACTTTGACGTATTTAATTTGAAAAGTCAAGATGGCCATTATTGCAACGCGATTGGACTTTGGTCGTGATATTTCTAGATGATGAGAAGACGAGGATAATATTCAAATTGCGATTCAAATCATCGATATACATATTATTATGTATATGATTAATAATAATATTAGAACCCATTTAGTTTGTTAATGGGTTGTTTTGTCGATAATTGTTTTCAGCTTTGCGGAAGCGGTCGTAGTTTTTAAGAATTAATATTTTAAAATATAAAACTATTTACTAATACTATTACATGAGTGGGTGCAATTTTGTAGGAGATGAAAAGCACACACCCCCTCAGCTATTAACAGTGTTAAAATATTCACAGCAATCCCACAAACTTGTGTGCAAAAGATTTTTCATCGCTACACACAAGAAGAAGCACTCATGATTTCAAAATTTTTGAGTTTATAAAATACATCTAACATAAACCTCATATTCGGACGGATAGGTAATATAAAAAGGTTTATGTTTATTCCTATTTCATTGCGGAAGTTTAAGAGTTTAGTCAGGCAATGGAGCCTCGCATTCATTTCCATTTGTCGGAAAATACCTACGGTTATCACTTATCATAGAAACACATATTTCTCAATAAGATTCAGCGCATGTGAATACGGAGTCCCGGGAGATTGGTCAACTGTCACCGTACTCTGGAACGCAATCATGATAAGATAACGCGTATCATTGGAATCTATGTCCCTTATCATAACACGTTTGGTGAAATTTTCGTGGTAAGAGGTGAAATTTTGATGTGTCCTAATGTTTTTTTTTACTTTTAAATGATTAATTAAGAAATTCATTTACTAAGTTTGTTTTAACAAATTGTGATTTTCTGTCAAATACTTCTTATATTAGTACCATATTATATGCGAACAAAAATATAGTTTGATAGGCATTTATGTTGGTGTTTATAGGGGTTGAAATTTGTCTAAGCATCGTTCGAAAAAGCGAAAAAATATTCGTTGAACGATAAGAACGGTTTGAGCATGCTTTTAATGGAAAACCATACTCAAAGATTTGATAGTAGCGTATACTTTTATGCTTAAGATTAAAAGTTTAATAAATTTAAACATATACTTCTAATTAATACAGCCATTCCGACTTGTAGGTAGCTCTGAAAACTCCATTTTCCTTATTATATACTTGTAAACACAATCGTGAACCAGAAACCATGTTTAGCCCAGTGGGCCGCAACGAGCACCCTGTGAACGCCAATAAGTCGGTTCCAGGGGGTGCATCTGCCATTTGATATATCTCGGAAAATAATCAGTAGTCACTGTTTTCGTAAATCGCCCATTCTTTTCGAGTTATTTCTTGACAATATTTTTGAAAAAAACACCTTAATGATTTTTGGACGATTCTTGATATACTGGTGCGGCCCTAAGGGAAACTATATGCGGTGGACACAAGGTGTCCATCATGGCGTTCAAGGTATTAAGATATTGCTTAGTTTATAAATCTGGAATCTCCGAAAAGTCTGAATTTTCATCGTAAATTCAAAAACAACCAAAACGGAGTCAAAAATTTACTACCTAAAATACTTAGGTACACGTGATAATACTATGAAAATCACTCGCTTTGCTTCTATTAAAAATTTATTAAATTGTTCAATTCTTAAAAAATATTCCTCAAAATTTGACGTACCAGATGAGACAGTTTTCGCAACGCAAATTAAAAACCGTATCGCACGCGCTACTCTTATTTTGCGCTAACTGTTAACAGTTAGTTGATATAAAAACGAATTAGGAATACGTTACTTACTAATGTCGCTATTCCGGCGAATACCAAAATTTTGTTCATGGTTACGGTACTTAGAATACGCGTCCAACAGCAGGTTGCGGCGTGGTGCCTATGAAGCACCCAAATTCTCACACTTAACTCTCTGGCAGTCCAACATCTTACTGAAAAGCATCGCAAGAATTTGCTCCAGATAAAAAGATAAATCGTGACATAAGTTGCGATAGTTTTGAGACGATTCGGCGATAAAGATATAGAATCCATTGACGTTGCTTGTACAAATGATAATATCCGAATGTGTGTAGAAGCGGACCCTTAAAGGGAAAAAGATGTCCATTCTTACTGTTTCATTTATTTTGTTTATTAGGGATGAAATAAGTCTAGAAGTGTGTGGATTTATAACAAGTTTATTTATTCTTAGAATAAAAATTCAAAATTTAATCACAGCAATTAGATCACGTATTTGTTGATTCACGCGGGAAAAACCCGTAAGGAATTATTAGGGGGAAAAAGAAGATCAAATTCGGATTTTGTGTGAATTGATTACTGAAAGCGATAGAGTTCAATGCCGCCCCATCCACTCTGTCAAATGACGTCGAAGTTTCAATCGAATTACATATATATAGGCTGTAAATGTAACACCTGGGACTTGTTTTAAGAAAGTAAATAATTGCCCGATCTTTTGTATAACTTTACTGCTATACCTTTTCAACTTTTCCTTTTGTTATAATTTTAGAGAATAGTTTGGTAATGATGAAATGAATAAGGCTATCTTAGTTTTGATACATACAAATAGTTACATCTAAAGTAATCAAAAGATGTTCACACTTTATTAAAACGAAATGATAGATTTTAATATTGCGCTGGTCCGATCAGATTAAGATGACTTTGGAATCCAGCATCAATGTCGCTATCCTCTGCGCGGAAGACAGGAGTGAATGGAGAAAACAAAAGTGCTCCATAAAGGTCATGACCCTCAGAACTGAGGAATACGACGCACGGAGGAGAAATACTGTAGAAAATAACGAGAATCATTATCATGTTTCATGGAAATAAGTCGAAGTTTGGCTGTACCAAATATCTCTGACTTTTTAAATATATCACATTGGTCACTAATGTTGCACCATATTGATTTTTGGTTTTTTTCAACTACGGCATGTATATTTCTATTATTAAATAATAAAAATAATAGAAAGTGACTCAAGATTAATTCAACTGTTTTGTTACTAAGTCCCATAGATTTTCGGTCAATGTTCTTTACAGTTAAGTTAAGCAAATCTCCATGTAATAAAAAGAAAGCCAAGAAATACGATGAAAATTTTAAATAATCAGGAATGTGAAAGCGCAAGTCCCCAAGTATTGACTGTCGCGATTATTTAATAATTCGAGTAGTATTGAGCCAACGGAACGTAAAGAATTGTCACATTCATCGCTTTACAATTTGTAAGATCGAGACTTCAAGTGACGCATGCGCGAATCTAATGTAAGGGAGTGACGCCCTAATGATTTGACACACCTTCATTGAAAGGCCGAAACACCACCCGCGTACCTCTGAACTGAAAATATTCGCACAATGATTACTTTTTTATGATAAACGTTAAGATTTTAGTAATTAAGAACTGTGTTTTCGATATTTTTATACAACAGCTCCGTTAGATTAGTTAATTATGAGCTCGCCTAAGCTAAATGAAAGATGTTCCAGTGTCTTGGGGAATGGTAAAAAACTTCTAGCAAATGATTCTAAAGAAGATTCATTGGACAATTCGGTGAGTTCCTGACATCATTATAATAGTATTTAAGCCCGCTTAAATTTTCATGAAAATTGGACATGTATGCAAATAAAAGTAGTCATAGAAAATTAGATGATACAAGTATATATTGTATTTTAGATAAGAGAATCATTTAAATCTGAAAGATCAGGGGGTGCTAAAAATGAAGAAGATTGGAGAAGACGTACCATTATTGTAGAAAAGAAAAACGGCAGCTACGGATTTACCCTTCAAAGTTATGGTATCCATTATAAGAAGGTAATCTAATCTATACTATAAATTAAAATAAATATAATATAAAAGTTATAGTGATTTTCAATTTCTGCAAATTAAAACAACTTGATACATCACGTAAACCTTCCGTGGGCAATATAGGTGATAGTATGTTAATTGTTTATTTCTTTCAGGAACAAGAAATTGAAGTAATAACGTATGTTGATCATGTGGAAATGGAAGGACCCGCTGCCTTAGCAGGAATGCGCGAAGGCGACGTCATCTTGTCCATTAACGGAATGGACGTGGAAAGAGCTGAACACGCTGCTATTGTCGATGCTATAAATTCTTGTGATTCGAGAATGAGAATGGTAGTTATTTTTGAAGATTGTGTCCGGAAAGTCGAATTGCACCTCAAATACATAAACCTGCAAAGAACTCTTCAATCGAAAATGCGAGAATTAGAACAGTTATCGATTCGCGAAAGACAACTGTTTGATGCTAACTGGAAGACTCACAGTTTACCATCGCAAAAGAAGAAATCGTCCCCTAATGATGTCATATCAGACGTTGAAGATAGCAACGAATCTCAAAATATGGGCACTACATACAGACCTACGTTGTCTAGTGAGAATGTGACTGCTGCTAAACCACCACACCCGAATGTTTTTATGTATCAGTATCTAGACCCACATTATGGAACTTGCTTAATTCAGCCTAATCTGCACACTGGCAGTTTTGTTATTACTGTTGGCTCTCCAAGAAATAGCCGAGATTGTCATCATTATATTGTGAAAGCACCTAATGATTGTTATCGAGCATCGGAAATATATAAGTCTACAAATTCAAAACACTCTAAAATGCATAGAAGCAATCATAGTCATAGCTGTGCTCCGTGCATGCCAGTATATAACAATCCGGACGCAAATAGTCTGGAGGCATATGATCTAGCCAGTCCGTGTTGTGACCCGCACTGTGTCCCTCATACCAGGAAAAAAGTCAGAAGAAAAAAGGAATGTTCAAAAGACCACAAAAGAAGGGAAAAATATCAAGTTGATAAATCTACCCAAAAACCTGATAATGTCCCTCCGCCACGAATGAAAAAAGTATGTTCTTCTGGCCATTGTTCCCGTTATCGTTACTTGACCACCGAATCTACGCAAACTAGTCAATGCAGCCTGCAGTCGTATGCTACAAGCAACGCTACTGTACCGTGTGACAACTCCGCTTCTAGTTACACCACGTCACTTAGCAGCGATACTTTATTTTGGGATAACGATCGATCTGAAGCAAAATCTTCTCCTAAGATTCAATATCAAAGCTCACACCAACACGTGAAGCCTAAGTCCTGGGATAATCTCACAACCAAAGCATTTGGTGGTTATGGATTTGGATATGGTTATTTGGATACAACCGCGAAACAATCAAATAGATCAAAAAGTCACGGCCGTAGCCACAGTGGTAGAAGCACACAAAGCCATCATGAATATCAGCAACACCACGAGAAGCATGTTCACCGTCAAAGTGCGAACACTCAACACTATTCAGTGTACACACGTAGCCACAGCCATTACCAACCGACTAAATCTACAGAAAGCCTTATCGTGGTCCCTAAATATCAGTTGGAGAGTAGCGGCTCAGAGAGTCGACTTGCATGTGAATGTACTGATTCCATTGAATACTATCGCAGGATCACTACCAGCAAGAATCCGGGAGAGCCTCAATCTGCAAATTATTATACTCCACATTTCGTATATCCGTCGCATTCTTACAAAAAGAGAGATTCCAACGTCAGCTCCGAAATAACACGGTTATAAGTATCTTATATAAGTCAACTGATATTCATGTTTTATAACTTTAAATTATATTTAGCGAACGAAGTTTCATTTATATTTGCGTGTGAAGTTTGTTTAGATTTGTATAACTTTTATCTACATTCGTAATGAGAAGTAGTTCCGTTAGTGGTAAAATAAGGTAGTTTTAATAATAATCAATTACTAAGCTGATTGCTAAAACCATATACCAGTGATGTTAGCTAAACATTCTTTAATCGAATCGTTTTGCTCAAATAGGCCTAAATTAATAACTGCATATAGTTATTTTATACATACATAGTACAGGTGCTTTCTGCAATTTTATATTAATATTCTATAATACTTTTACTGATTTATGATGAGAAATAAACTTCCAAAAATCATATTCGATGTCTTAATTCTTTCTTAATTTAATTAAAATACTATTTTAAAGTGAGGAGGAGCGAGGAGGCTATTTTCATGGGCAATATAGAACATAGATAAGGCATTTCAAAGCCTACAAAAATCTACAAAATCTACAAAAACATGAAAGGTGTATACAGTTATACAATATATCTGTTTCCCTCTCTCTACCTCACCACATGCCGGCAAAGGAGTGAAGTTCCAACACCGATTGAATCGTGGAGATAATAATTGGCATCCAATGAAGCGAAGACTGACTGTACTAATTAGGAGATATCTATCCGAAAGGCTCTCTATGGAAACAAAAAGTTTTTACTTTTTTATTGCTTAGATGGTTGGACGAGCTCACAGCTCACCTGGTGTTAAGTGGTTACTGGAGCCCATAGACATCTACGGCGTAAATGCGCCTCTCACCTTGAGATATAAGTTCTAAGGTCTCAAGTATAGTTACAACGGCTGCCCCACCGTTCAAACCGAAACGAATTACTGCTTCACGGCAGAAATAGGTTGGGCGGTGGTACCTACCCGCGCGGACTCGCAAGAGGTCCTACCACCATTAATTACGCAAATTAAAATTTGCTGGTTTGATTTTTATTACATGATGTTATTCTTTTACCGTGGAAGTCAATCGAGAATATTTATTTGTTGAGTACGTATTTCATTAGAAAAATTGGTACCCCCCGCCTGGGAATCGAACACCGGTGCTTCGCTCAACACGAATGCATCGGACGTCTTATCCTTTAGGCCACAACGACTTCGACGGCTATATTACGTATTTTCTTTTAAACTACTGGTATTAAGCCCAATTGATTTTGGTTCTAATTAAAATTCATTTGTAATGAAACTTCGATCGCCATTTTAGACTAAATTGGTCATACCGGAGAAACAAAATACAATACACTATAGATATCCAAAAATGTGCACGTTCGTTGATATATTAGGACGGACAAACGAGCTGTCGGCCCATCAGATGCTAAACTGTTAGATCACCCTTTGAAAGACCATAATTTATTCTGCTACGCACCTTGTGGAGGGATAATACCGAAGTCTCCGCTGCATTCATGTGATTGCTACGCCACAAAAATAGGCAGACTGTGGTAAATAACGAACATTAACAAACAGTACGAGTTCTAGAAATTTCTCTAGTTGCTATAACATTTAACATTCTGCTTATTTAACAGATTAAATACTAAATAATGCATTTAAGATAGTAGTAGTATGCAAGTTTCTATGGAGACTAACAGTAGGTACACAAATCAAGATGCAATTATATAGAACCGATTTCTAAGTAAGAAAGCACATCGTTAGTAAATTCGAAGTAACACATTTTTTCTAAGCTCGCTTTATTAGTCAATGTAGATAGATAAAAAATGCATAATTCAATACTACTTAATCGTTGGTAGGCTAATGAGCTATTTTAACTACGCGCAGACAGGTAGGTGAGCTCACAGGGCTTAACCTAAGAGGGTTTGGTAACAGTAGCCCTAGCAATAGCAGTGGGTCGGTGAATCTACTACCGGATCGAAACCCCACTGAGAAGATTCTGCCAGAAACACAGTTGGCATGTAATTCAAACGCGATAAAAGTGAAGATTTCCGACGTATTCTGTGTGCTTAGTGTGAGTTTCTTAAAGTTCTCGACAGCGTAAAAGTTAAGCCAATATTGTATGCAATTGGAACAGCGGCCCTAACGGCAAACGTACGCAAAAATATTTTTTCCTTTTTTTTCCCTACCTATGCTGATAGCCTTGAGGCTATTTCAGCTTCGCCCTAACGTTTGTAGGTGAGCTCACGGGGCTCAAACCGGAGAGTTGCTAACACTGACCCTAGCAAGAGCAGTGCTTCGCAGAATCTACCACTGGATCGGAAACGCGACCCACTGAGAAGATCCGGCGAGACGTACGCAAACGATCCCATTCCATACAAATATGAGCTATCTTTTACGCTATCGAAAACGTTAAGAAACACGCACTAAGCACACTGTTTCATTCTCTCGCATGTTAAATTCTATAGATGTTTATCAGTTTTCAGTGTCGCTTTTTCGTTTATATCGTATTATAAATAACAATACTTCTTTAGAAATTTATACTTTAATAAGGTTATACTTTAATTATACTGGTGGGAGGACCTCTTGTGAGAGCGCGCGGGTGGGTACCACCACCCTGCCTATTTCTGCCGTGAAGCAGTAATGCGTTTCGGTTTGAAGGGTGAATGGAGCAGCCGTTGTAACTATATTTGAGACCTTAGAACTTATATCTCAAGATGGGTGGCGCATTTACATTGTGGATATCTATGAGCTCCAGTAACCACTTAAAACCAGTGGGCTGTGAGCTCGTCCATCCATCTAACCATTAAAAAATAAAAAAAGCTATTAAACAAGACATAACTTTTTTAAACTCGATATATTTTCTAATGAATAGTAAATGAGAAGACCTTTTTATCTATAATAATATAAAACCCCCAACTTCCTTATATTTGTGGTTGAAGTGTGGCAAATTTATTCGTTATCACCGAAATTAGGTGGCTGAACTTATATCTACAGAGAGTTCATCTTAAGTGGAAGGGTCAGTCGACGTTACAGTGCGCTGGAGGAGCCGCCCAGCCGCCAGAATCTCGTTGTGCTTCATCGCATGATCATGCGTCCAATGGCGCTCCTAAGCCAACGTCGAGCCGGTCTTGCTTCTCATTTTGCTATAATCATATGTTACTTTTGTGTATTGCAGTCTACAACTTCTCATGAAATTTCATCTGGTGTAAGTATTTTATTTCTTTTTATTTAATTTAAAATTAATTATTTGTTATCTCTTAGAATGAAAGCTCTTTATTAACGTTTTTTTACAGTATTATTTGATTTGCCGCGACACAAACACGCAGCTATGTGTTACTTGGCTAATCCAATACTCCCAAGCTATGAAGTTGGCTACAGAATTGAGTACAAAGAAAGTATCAACAGATGTTTGTGGATTCAGCCAATTGAAGCCTATGGGGCAAAATCGGTCATACGTAGAGGTATGTTGACCACTTTTGTTTTATTTTTATAAATGCTAATATTGTTTGTTTTAAATTTTTTTAAACTTACTTCACTAAATATGATAAAAAAAAACACTTAAATCAAACTGATTGTCATAATAAATTTGCAAACCTAATTGCCCTATTTGCGAACTGTCATGAAAATTTAACAAGTGCTCACTAATAGAAAAGTAGCTCAGCGATTTTATACATACTATGTCAAACTAAAAATATACAAATGAAAATTAATATGGTACATATTTGCTTCAGATCATAATAACGAATATTTATTAAATTATATTTATCAGATGTTTTAATAGTGTGGTCTAATTATATAACATATAAGATTTAACATAATAAAACTGTTGCTGAGAATAATAAAAGTAATTATAAATTGTCACTGTCGTATATCAGGATAGAGTATGTGTGTGTGTATGTGTGTATTCATTATCGAAATACTTTTTTTAGAATAACACATTAAATTATTATTATTATATCTACTTCACATTTAATATAAAATTTATATTCGATAATTGTAGCGTCCATTATACAGTAAAATCAAGTGACTATGCTGTGATTCGTCTTCGGAACCATTGTTTCATAAATTTTTCGTGACATGAGCGAAATTTACGAAGAATGTTTTTTTTTTAATTATCTCAATAAAACCAGTAAATTTATTTGTATAATTAATTAGTAATTACTGATAACGTGACATGGACCGCTCGAATTCTATTTTTAGTGTAAAACAATTGTGCTTTGAGGTTTACGAGTAAGATAACAGTTTTCTTAAGGCAATTATGAATGCTCTGGGGTAGACGCACGCTCACGGCAGGAATCGATCTGTGGTATTCTAATCCCTGCACATCAGATGGCTCTCTCAAAAAAAGCTTTTACCTCATCAAGTTGGGATCTAGTTGGCAGAGTCTAAAGAAAAAAAAAATTGAGATTTTCATAAAGAAAATAATAATTTTGCTCGACTTAATAGACAGTGGTAGGGCGTGTCACTAGACACATAAATTCTGGCTAAGGATTATCTAAGGAGCACATGTTTCAGTCCGAAGGGTAGGATATGTGTTGTATCAAACTAATTGAAAATTTAATATTTTTTCTCAAGGCTGTCATGTTTATTACACGTGAGCCCGACTACTCATTTTAGGTAATAAATGAAAATCGTTTTTGTACAAAAAATACACGTGCCCTCAAATAGAATAGTCCGTGCGAAGTTGTAATAGTCCCGTAGGCTACCAAAGATCAGGTAGTAAAAAAAATATAGAAATAGTTTCGTTTTATTTTCAACAAATCAAGGATTATTAAACATCGGAACTGACTATGTGAGGTTTGTGGACTCCAATAATATTTGAACATTTATTTGTGGTGCGTGAGCTGATCTTTCGATGCATGCAATACAAACGTTAGTTAACATAGATAAACTTTTGTGATTTCAATGGAATAAGCGAATATTCGATCAAATGACCCCACAAAAATATTTATATGAAAATAAAACTATAGTTCGAAACTGTGATATTCGAACAGTTAAATAAAAAATAAAACATGTACAAACAATTAATAAAAAAGTAACACATTTAGATTTTTTGTAATATACATAATTAATTAACATTTATTATATTTTGTTATAAATATAAATAAACTATGTAGCGCTATCTGTAACGAACGATAAAATAAATCTTTCGAAACATTAGTGTTATGTAAAATAACGACAATCATAAAATTAACTTGCAATATTTTAATGTTATTTTATCATTACTTATGAGATAACTTCATCTGTCAAGGCTCACCTTTTTCCTTGGCCTGTGTTTCACAATCTCACTATCAAAAATGGAACAGTAAATTTAATGTGTCAAGGAAAACGTTAGAACAATTTAAAACTAAGTCATCTGTTGTAACAGGTATACCCGATTGACGAAAGTAAGCCGGTTATGCGCTGTCCTATAAAAAGTTTGGTGGTGAAGTACAACAAAGATCTGCTTAATTTGAAGAGCATACATGAAATACACAGAGTCCGTCGTCAAATTCCCTACGCATTACGAGGACGTTACAGGGGACAGACCCAATCTCAGTATCTGGCCATAGACCATGGAAACGGAAAAGATGATGGAAAAGCCGAAGCGCAATCAGCTGCTGACTCCTCTAGAGCTAGCGTCAGTGAGTAAAAACGAATGAAACCATCTTGTATTATTAGTCATTACGATATTATGATAAAATAATGAACTGGCTACAAATAAATGCCTTTTTAAATAGATTTTTTGAATTTCAATACGTGATACAAAACGGAACCCAGGAATTTTTATATCAATGAAATTTTTATTTAAAAATATTCCTCTCGTATAAATAATCTCAGTACCTAATGTTTTTTCTTTATTTTTAAATTTAAAGCCATAATTTAGTTCATATAAAGAATTAAACGGACCCTTATAACACTTAGATGTTCATTTACCATAACTGCTTTGTAAAATTGTGGTAAATTTAAAAGAAATCATTAATGTTGAGTATTAATTATTAATTAGGTGGAACGAGCGGAATGGGTCAAGCACAAAGTCAATCCATGTATGACCCGACCTGCGATGACTGTGTCGGCCGATCTACTGGCATCGATACCTCAAAACAAAAACCGTTGGGAGATTCTCACGGCGGCATTCCATCAGGATTGTATGTACACTTCTATGAAAATCCATAAGCAATTCTTCGTACTTCGTTTTTGATATGACCACTATAATATACTTTACTATTAATAATAGCTTTATGTTAAATAATTATGTAACAGCCCATAACAGAATTACACACTAAAACACAATTTCACAAAAGGCAATTGATTTAACACTCGTAATGTAATACTTTCTTTTTAGACCTTCAGGAGCGATCGGCACACCAGGAAACAATTTACCCTTTGATCCAACAGGGGGAAGTCGATTAACAGGAAATGGAGGTTACGGGCCTAATGAAAATGGCGAACGTTATGGTCCTGGAAGTACTGGAATCAATGGTGCTTATAGACCACCGGGCGCTGGAGGAACTTATGGTCCTAATCAAATTGGGAACGGAGCTTTTAATCCAGCTCTAAATGGTATTCCAGGTATTCGTGTACAGGGACCAAATACAGGTTATGGAATAAGCCCTGGGGGTGGTTACACCGGATCATCTCCTGGGTTGGGTAATCAGTATTTGCCACCTTCAACTAGTACTAATTACGAACCAGTAAAAGGCAGCTATGGTCCAAGGCAAAATGTTCCTGATGGGTCTATAAATGGCTACCTTCCTGTACCTAGTGGTAGTAATGTATACGGGCCAAATCCTAACTCTGGCTCTGGTCACGGAATCGTTTCCAATATACCAGGAGGTGGCTATGGTCAAAATGGAAACTACGGACCCAACCAAAATGGAAATATGCCTTATGGTACAAACCAAGTCCCTTCACAAGGTACGAAAACGCCTGCTCATGGAGGAGGTCCAAGTGGGATCAATACGGGGTTAAGTTGGCCATCCACAGGAACATTTACACGTCCGGGATCTCAGAATACACCTAATGGACCAAGTTCTCAAGGCAACGCAAACGAACCTCATAATTTACTAGCCCCTAATGCTGTTTACGGACCTGGTGGCAATAGACCATATCAAACGGATGGCCAAAGTAACTACCAAACAAAACCAAATAACGCGTACGGAACTACTGGTGGATACACTCCTGGATCGAATGGTGGGTTAGGGTATCATCCTGGAAGTCAAGGTAATCAGGGTGGGTCTTACCCGGGTTCGACAAATACTCAACAAGGACCTGCAGGTCCGTTTAATCCAGCTGACATAGGTACTAACAATAATGCAAACAAATATGGTCAGTTAAATCCAAATAATCAGAACGGCCTACAAAGTCCCGGTACTTACAGCCCTACGAGTACCGGACAAAACCACATGCCTGGAGTTATCGGTAGCCAAAATGGCCTACAAGGACCTGGAGGACAGTATGCGCCTACAAATACCGATGGGCAAATACCTGGAGTCCAATATAATCCTGGGAGCACAGTAGGTCATAATGGCTTGCCTATTCCTGGAGGTCTGTATAATTCTGGAATTGGAGGAGGTCCAAACAGTTTTCCTGGAACTCCAGGACAGTACCAACCTGGATCCACAGATGGTCATAATATTGTAACAGGCCCTGGAGTTCAATACAGACCAGATATCGTTAGTGGTCAAAACGGCTTACAAGGTCCCGGTAGTCAATATGGAGGTGGTCAAAGTAGGAATCAAGAGCCCGGAGGTCAATATGCTCCTGGAAATCAAAACATTATGCAAAGGCCAAGTGGACAGTATGGACCCGATAGTGCTGTTGGACAAGGTATTCAAGAACCAGGAAATATGTATGATTCTAGACCAAATAATCAAAGTCCTCAATATGGACCTGGAATCGGAATCGGTCCGAACGGATTACAAGGGCCAACTGGTCAGTATAGGCCTGGATCTTCCGGAGGTCAAAATGTTGTATCAGGCCCTGGAGGACAATATGGTAGTTCTGGAACTCAATATGGTCCAGGTGGTCAAAATGGAATTCAAGGTCCTAGTAGTCAATATGGTCCAGGTGGTCAAAACGGAATTCAAGTTCCTGGAACTCAATATGGTCCAGGGGGACAAAATGGAATACAAGTTCCCGGAACTGAGTATGGTCCAGGAGGTCAAAGAGGAATCCAAGGTCCTGGAACTCTGTATGGTCCTAATGGACAAAATGGAATCCAAAGTCCAGGAACTCAGTATGGTCCAGGGGGACAAATAGGAATTCAAGCACCTGGAACTCAATATGGACCAGGTGAGCAAAATGGAATCCAAAGTCCTGGAACTAAGACTGGTCCAGAAGGACAACTTGGAAACCAAGGGCCAGGGACACAGTATGGTCCAGGTGGACAATATGGAATCCAAGGGCCAGGAAATCAGTATGTCCCCGGCGGACAAGGTGGAATCCAAGCTCCTGTAAGTCAATATGATAATGTTCAAGGTGGAATTCGAGGACCAGGAACTCAGTATGGTCCAAGCGGACAAAGTGGCCTTCAAGGGCCCGGAGGCCAAAATGGCATACAATATCCAGGAGGAAGTTATGGCACCGGCGTCCAAAGTGGTTTGCAGAAACCAGGTGGCGTTTATGGTTCTGGGTTAAATGGAATCCAAAACAATGGCGTACCTGGAACGGGTGATAATTATGTTCCTGGAGGCCAAAGTAATGTGCCAGGTGGTTACGGCATCTCTAATAGACCTTTTAATCTTGATGGTACTGGGAGTCAACAAGGTCCATATAACCCATCATTACCAGGACAAAATGGACCATATGGGACTAATATGGTAGGTCAAGGATCAGGTTCAATTAGTCCTGGCACTACTGGCTTAGGGAACACAGGTAATCAAAATGGACAGTACGGACCTAGTGCTGGACCTTACCCTAACCAATATGGTAATGACTTATCCAACACGGGAGGTGGTTCTGGACAGTATGCCAATGTTCCTTATGGATACGGTAATAATCAAGCTGGTGCACCACAGAATGTTGTCGATCCAAATTCAGCTCTTTTGATAGATGGTGACGATTCTGCAGCTGAAGCTAGCGTTTCTCAAGCTTCAAACGGTACAACGGCTATAGCTTCCTCAAAAGGAGGAAATGATAAAGGACGTGCTCAAACACATGTGCAAGGAGCTTATACTGGCGGTGGCTCATTTTCTGCTCAAGCCGAAATTAGTGGTGAGAATAAAGCAGCTAATAGCGAAGTAACTGGTGACAAAAAAGGAGCTTCTAGTAATGCTCAAGGAAGTGGACGTAATAATAAATCACAAGCTAATGTTCAATTAGGATCCGAGACAGGTTCCATCTTGACTGGTTCGCAAAGCGAAGGAGTGATGCATTCTTCCAATACACAAGTACAGGGTAGCTTGAAAGGTGGCATGGCGGACGCTCAAGCTCGTGGTCCAGGTAGCACTTCGTCTCAAGCTCAGATTGGTTTTACACCGTATACACATGGAGATGCATCTCATGATGTACAAAAATCTCCATTTGTGGGCGGGGGAACTGCAGCTGCACAATCAAGTGGTCGAACGGGCTCCTCACAATCACAATTACGTGGAACATTTAAATATGGAATTACTTATAACGGAGGAGCTCAAGCAGGTGCCAGCTTAGACAAAGACACAGTCTTTTCTAATAGACTTCCATTTGATAAAATTGATGTTTATGATGAAAAAAACAAAAATATTAACATCGAGACGACGGAGAAATCATTAGACTTGTTACCTACTGAATCGACTGAAATCCCACTAACTACGGAACACTTGAGCTATGATATTCCTTCAACTACACCGTTGGATATCAGTGCAAACACGGAAAAAATAGATCCAGTATATTCTGAAAATAACGACGAATATGGGTCACATTCTCACTCTGATCATCACAAAACTGAATTTGCGGCATCTACACCAACTCGTTCACCTCCCGTTGAAAGTAGACGCTCTTTTCAGTCCGCTTATGGCACTAATAGTGGAGATTATGATTATACCACTGATAAAGAAGAAAACCAACCTGAGGAATATGATATGGATGACGGGTTTGCACCTGAAGGTACAGACACAAGTGATAACGATCAAGGAGAATTTGCAAATTATAATGAATTTTCTAGAGACTCAGAAACGCACCAATCTCTTCATTCGCCGAAGCGAAAAGGCCTGGAAGTAAGGCAAACAACAGGCGGCAACACGCAACATATTGTCTTGGGGGCACTTCGAGACCAAAATGCAGAGATTACACAGAGAAACTCTGAACGTCCTGATGAGAGTAAAATATATCAGCCTGGTGAGCGTGTACCAGGTACTGGCGGTTATACAATACCAGTTGGATTCACAGGCAGCGTTAAATCGGTTGCTTCCAAAGATAAAACTTACGTAGTAGGGTCAAAAGATTCACCATCTCAAGCGCAGACTGTATCCCTTACTCCTGGCTCTGGTAAAATAAAATATACTTATCCAACTACACACACCAGAAATGTGAGTCCTAAAGATTTGCGGTCACTTTACAATGTTAAACCAGATGATAATAATCGATACGTATCTGTTTCAAAATCAGTAACACGCGATTTAGACAGTGATAATAATATAAGGAAACAATATTCACACACCTACTATACAAAATCGTCATCTTGTGGATATTTTACTTTTACTTGTAATATGGTGAGTGGTGCTGAAGGCAAAAAAAAGGTTTGTAAGCCAAAAATTCCAACAAATCCTGATGGAACTCCTATGAGATGTTAAGTTCAACAGAATTTTAACACCTTGATTTAAAATTAAAATATTACGAACGAAAAGATATGTGTCTTTGTGATTAAATTTGTATAAAATTAATTTAAAACAATGTAGATTAATGTAATTTAAATATTTGTAACCTAATGTATTTTTGACCGTGATTTTGTTTTTGTTATTAGTTTGCTATCGGGCTGATCTTTATTCTTTTATTACGTAGACATTATAATAATCATTACTCTTTAAGGTTTAAGGAATCCTTGGACAATACTTTTACTTTCTGAATTTACTTAGGTTCCATTGACAACAATTTCTTTTTATTATTGTATATATTCTTTGAGAAATAAAATTATGGTCATTGATTATTTTATTATTTTATGAAATTCGACAACAAACCGACGATAACGAAACATATTGATTAGCCTAATATATTACGATACCTTTAGAATCGAATGCTTATAACAAATATTTTATGAAATCTTATAACAAATATTTTATGTGTATTGTATATTATGTGTATTAACTATTAGTTTTCTAAAATAAAACTAGTACGTAATCATTTTAATTGGCAACGAAACTTATAATACTGAGAATAAAAAATAATACCACCTCTTAAATTTGAAACGTATGTTTTAGTTTATAAATAGATACTTTTTTTAAAACTTATTGCTTAATATTAATTTTATCTGGTACATAAATAGTTTAGTGTGTTTAATTATTTTTTATTAATAAATAGTAGAAACCAATAAGTAGTTTTATTCCAAATATTTAAATCAAAGAACCACCATTAACTAAAGCAAACCTATTTCATTTTTTTATGAAATAGGTGAAATAGGTAAAAAAAAAATCAGCTGGTTAGTAATTATTTTTCATGACCTTGTTTATGATACATGTTGGAGAGGGGGGACTGCCTAACAAAACCTTATATTTTGTAGGACAAATATTTTTTCACGTTATTTAGATAATTATCTCGATAATTAACAAAGAAAAATTCGGTTAGTAGTAAATTTTTAAAATTCGTGAAATCAACATATTTTATCGTTGCTACCCCTAGTAAGCTACCACTTACCAACGTTACTGTAAGGAAAAAAGTTGGGCGTCTAGTCAAAAGGAAGCTACTCACGAAAAATCAGCTTGTTAGTAATAAATAATGAAAATTGTACCAGGGATCCTGTACTATGTATCTCGGGAGATGAAGATAGCACCTAGAACCATGTCGCGTATTTTAAAAGATGACTTAGGACTTGCAGCCTATAAGAGACGTACTGGTCATTTCTTAATTGATAATTTAAAAGAGAATAGGGTGGTAAAATCGAAACAACTACTGAAGCGGTACGCAAAGGGAGGTCATAGAAATTTTTTGTTTACGGATGAGAAAATTTTTACAATTGAGTAACATTTTAACAAACAAAATGACCGTGTAATGCTCAAAGCTCTAAGGAAGCTTCCCAATTAGTCGACAGAGTGCAACGTGGGCACTATCCGACTTCAGTGATGGTTTGGTGGGGTATTAGCTATGAAGGAGTGACTGGGCCATACTTTTGTGAAAAAGGTATCAAAACATCGGCACAAGTGTATCAAGATACCATTCTTGAGCCTTGAAGCCTCTTAACAACACCATGTTCAATTCAATGGTCAATGGTCCTTCCAGCAAGACTCGGCGCCAGGTGATAAAGCTCGGTCTACGCAGTCTTGGTTGGAAACGAACGTTTCGGACTTCATCAGAGCTGAAGACTGGCCGTCGTCTAGTCCCGATCTTAATCCGCTGGATTATGATTTATGGTCAGTTTTAAAGAGTACGGCTTGCTCTAAACGCCATGATAATTTGGAGGCGTCCCTAAAACAATCCGTACGATTGGCAGGGAAAATTTTTCCCATGGAAAGAGTGCGTGCTTCTATTGATAACTGGCCTTAACGTTTAAAGGACTGTATTGCAGCCAATGGAGACCACTTCGAATAAGCTTTTTATACTTTAAATTGTTTTATATTTATGTATTAAACTAACACACTGTAAAAGTAATAAATGTTATTTGCCATAGAATTTTTTTTGTTTTCCTTTGTAACAGTATTTATGGCCAGACTAAGTATATATAAAAACGAATTGCTGTTCGTTAGTCTCGCTAAAACTCGAGAATGGCTGGACCGATTTGGCTAATTTTGGTCTTGAATTATTTCTGGAAGTCCAGAGAAGGTTTAAAAGGTAGATAAATATGAAAATGCTCGGAATTAAATAAAAATAACAATTTTGTTTTCCCTTTGATGCGTCCCCCGTGGAACGGATTCTTTTTGTTTGTTTTAAGTTTATTTTATACAAAAGTTTAGGTCTTTTATTTATCAATTGAGGCACTAGGAAGTCAGCTATTAATAAAAGATAAAATACGTTGATTAATAATAGTGAAAACATCAACGTATTTTATTTATAGTATAGACAATGTATTATATAATATGTTTCCACGATCTAATGCTCAGTAAACTTAAAGCAGTTAGGTGTAAATTATATTTCAATGGATAAAATTGCGCAAGTATGAAACCACAGCCCTTTTGACCGGTTATACCAATATAATCTTGTATCGGTACGGGCTGGGCTTGTTCACTTTGTAATGTCTCTCATATCTGCTTATAAAACCTGGGCCAGGAATTGAAACCTGTTTCATTATAATTTTTTAAATAATTATGTATACATATACAAATAGGCGTCAATCCTCTTTCATTGTGTAAAGTAAATGCGTGTCTATAGAAGGATGGGGCTAATAATAGATGAAAAAAAAAAACAACTCATACAACAATTATTATTTATTCCAATTTACACGATAATTATTTCTTAGTTTTAGATATTCCGTTTCAAAATTCAATTTAAATTAATTTTAGAATTCGTGACATTTAGGTTTTTTTTTTTTTAAATGACAAGTTGAAATTGATAATTTGAGCTACTATGAAGTAATACATTATAGGTGATGAATAAAAATTTAAAATGAGCACAACGATAGATAGAACAGACGAGGAATGTTAGTCGTAGACATCGAGGATCACGTATCACAGGATAGATAATTAGAATTAAAAATTCAATAGCTCCATTGAAACATTTTAAAATTTTACAAACGACGTACAAAATATTTCGTTAAAATTTTATATATAAAATTGCATTAGCAATATAATCAGCAACAATAATAACACGAATCGCCGGGATCCCGTCTAACTTACATTACCTAGGACCGATATAATAGCTAGCCAAATGCTGCAAGTCAAATAAACACATTGATGGTTCTTCAGTTGTTTCGATACTATCTCAGTAAGTTCTGGAGGTAGTCACGTGACGTTGCTGACTATGAGAACACTTCGGAACTTCACGTATGAACGCTCGATGAGAATGCTGCGTTATTGTCATTGATTACTTAAAGGCTCACGAAATTGTGTTTTTCTATATATTTCTATTATTTTAACATGTACGCTATTGAATATAATTTTATATATGAATCACTATAACAATTAAAGCAGCCAATACTGTTATTACATTATAGTCTTTTCTTATATTTTTTCACACAATAAATACAAATACACTCAGTCTGATACGTGGAATGTTGTCAGGTAACAATGCGTAACAATCTCTTTTTTTTATGAATAAATAGACATCAATGATTATTCACTTATCGATAAGTCTTTGTAATTGATATAATATACTTACATGATCTCTATAATGTAACGAAATTTCAAGTTTTTTTTTTTTCGAAATCAAACTAAGATGTAGCGTTGTTAAAGTGCAAACCGAAAATGAATAAATTGGAACGACATATAAAACTAAATGCACAGAACGAATATTAATTGTTAATTTTAATCATTTTATTCTTGAGATTCATGATAAGTCTATAATGGCATCAAAATTTTATATTAAAGCATTACAAAATTAATATTAAAATACAATACAGACTAATTTTTTTAATACATTAAATTTAAAGGAAATAAGTTATTAAGTACATAAATTGCGTTTGTAGTTCAAAAGTAAATTCGTAAAAACTAACTTAAAAAATAACAATAAATAAAACAAAATACCTAGTCGGTGGTAAGGTAGTCTAGCTTCCGTTTTTTGTCTTAAAAATAATTTTAATTGAACAAAACAATAACATTAAAATAATTAAAATACAATCAAATTATAATTTGAACATTCAATAGACATTGTACTACAACTTAGTTTGGATTGAGATAATTTTTTTTTAGTGGCAGTGATTTTTTCGCTGTCTTCCAACATCAGTTTGTTACGTCATACGATAAATTAAATAATATACGTATGTGTATGTATGTACTAATAAATACTAATAATATATTCCCTAATCTGACACCAACTTATCCACGTTATGACGCGTATAAACATTACAAAAATACAAGCTATCCGTTACAACAACGAAACATTTGATATGATATTCAAATTGCGTAATAATTCAGATTATTGCTCATATTAATGTTTAATATTATTGCCCGCAAACATCCGCGATATACATAAGCGCAAATAAATTGCACATATTTAAAAATAAAAAGTTATGTAGTAATAACTTTTCATGTACTTTTTTTTCTTTCGAATATATAACACGAAATATGCGTATGTTATTGCAGTATTGTTAATTGAATAATATTATATTATATATATTATACATGCATATATATTAGACAAATCTTCGTTAATGGAATTGCGTAACTCTGATCCTGTCAAATTAATTACTAAATTCACACTCAAATCGATTCCAAGACATCAAAACTTCGAAAACATTTGCAAGATTTCTATCCTATATGAGTAAGTTTTTGGACCCATTTTTTTCATTGTACTATTATTGCAAATACTCATTAACAGAAACCAATTGTGTTTATTAAGTTCAAATATCACACAAAGTGTAATACAATTTCCACTGAACATGCAACGTTTCAACGTAAAATTCAATAGAGCAAATAATAGTTAATTATGTGGCCCTTCCCAATAATAAACGCTAGTAAATAGAGAGCATTTTTTAAGTAATATATTATGTTAACTTTTATTATAGTCGTGAACGACTCAGCCATTACGGCATGTCAATAATTTCACATTCTTATTTCCTAAGCGATTTGTGATTACATTATATTTTCACAAGTAACTAATTATATATTCACCACACCACACACATAATATTAAGATACTTGTAATACTGAAAAAAATACAAAAATACACCATAGACAAAGAAAAATAAAAAAAATAGGTGAATTTCAATTTTCTCGTGAACGCAAACCACTTTAATGTCCATTAACTATATTTTAAAATAAATTTAAAAAATGAATGAGATCAATTTTCAGCGTACAAAAATTAAAAGTAAATAGTTACATATCTAGTATGTAAGAGTATTAATATGGCGAGATTTTTAGTGTAAAATAAATACTGTCATGTAAGGAACTAACAATTTAAATGGCCTCATTGATGATCTGAACATCTTTTTTATACCACTGGAGCACGAATGATGCGTATTTTTATGTTTATAATAATGTAGTTATATTTTAGGTTTGCAGGAGCTGTATGTAAACATAACTAATTTGAGAATATTTTTCCTTAAAAAAACATTATATGGTAATTAATTACATTACAGTTTTGGCAGTCACGAAGTAATTAAATAATAAGACATACCTAGAAGCACATAATAAGTTTAAGTTTTTGAGACTTGGTCTAGTTGTAATTATACTATAAAATAAGGTTTTTTTAAGACTAAATACGTGTCGGCCGCCGAATCCCATATTTTATATTTTGCGCTCCTATGCGCGGGAACCACGGAGGTACGAACCTCGACTCAAGAAAAACAGGACCAAATACGTGCGCTTTCCGAGTTTGAATTTCCCTATACATATTTCTGTATTAACAAAATTCAAATACAATGTCTCTTGAGAATATAGTGCAATTTTTTTTTGATTTCATAATTCGATAAAATTAATTAGCACTATTTGGCAGACTCCTAATGGCGTTTAATGATGATAAAACTTCTAAAGCCTTTGTTCACTGCTAGTTCAGACTGCGCAGTCGACTAACCGGTGGTAGGACCTATTGTGAGTCCACGCGGGTGGGTACCACCGCCCTGCCTATTTCTGCCGTGAAGCAGTAATGCGTTTCGGTTTGAAGGGTGGGGCAGCCGTTGTAACTATGCTGAGACCTTAGAACTTATATCTCAAGGTGGGTGGCGCATTTACGTTGTGGATGTCTACGGGCTCCAGTAACCACTTAACACCTGTGAGCTCGTTCAACCACCTAAGCAATAAAAAAAAAACCTTTGATAACATGGTAGTGGTGAAAAAAGAAAAACTCGATCGATTCACTATAGCCCAAAAATGTAATGCCAGTACTAAATTAAAGACGGCGAGAAATGGAGACAAAAAAAATATCGACGAATTCGAATGACGGGATCAAATGAGCGTCAATACCAAAATGTCAGAACACGTACGTTGTCGTTGCTTACATGGCAACCAAAACAAGAAGTAATGTGCACAGTACAAAAACTACACTTGTAACCTAAGTTCAATATCTCACTATCTGGACTTGACGCCCAGTTTTATTGTTCGTTTAAATGAAAAATAACTTCAACTTTTGTTCATGAACTGAAGATGAACTGAATTTTATTTAAAAAATCCGAAGGTGTTTTGATGAAGACCGAAAAATCGATTTAAAAATCGACTTAATGATATGTTCATGACATCCGGCGACTACCAAATCTGTAATGTCTCCTCACAAGATCAAAACTTAATCCGATTTAAAAATATATCAAATAAATTAATGTTATACCGAAAACAACCTGAAATGAGTCTCAATTAAAAATTACCAAATGCACTCTGACATAATATAATAATTTAAAAATTAAGTAGTAATTAGTTTTAGTTATTTTCACGAATTACATTAAATACGCCGCGCGTTGTATTATGTAGCCTTTTTTAAGAATGTTTTATTTATTTGTTTTATATTGCTATTTTAATAAATATAAATTGGATGTCTTACTTACTTATGAGATAATCTAGCTGATGAATTTAATAGTGACTATTTTGGATTGTCTAGCTACGAATAAATAATTATTTATTCGTAGTTGTCTAGTTATAAACTTTTAAAAATATATATAATCTATCAATGGCGGCCAATATTTATTATATACGACTTATTTTACTTTACATAGACGTGTAATAATAATACATATGTTCTTAATTAGAACCTCTCAAAAATTAAAAATCAATTATTATATTGTATTTCCTGAATCTAGTTTTACTGTAAAATGTACGAAAAAATATATGTCATCTTCTTTTAAAAGAAAATGTAGTTTTTAGCTCGAGCCGCGAAGACGTTTTAGTCGTTCTTTCTCCAGATGATCAACAGGGGGCTCGCGTTCAAACGATACCAATTCCAATGCTGAAATTTATACCTAATTATTTTGATGTCACTTTGTATTATATCTGTTCCAATATTTATAATAATTGAACTGGTTTATTATTTAGTATTTATATATATGCCTTATTGTATATAAAACAATTAAAAAACAAAAGATTTAAAATAAAATATACAAAAAGGCGATCTACTAATTAGTCTTCTTCCAGCAAATTACGAGCAGACAAAAATGTGACCGAAGGAACAAAGTGTAACACAAAAAATATGCCTGAATAGATTAAGTAGGTATTATAACACCAATAAAATCATTAGGTTAACTTCATTATACACTCCCACAAAACATTCATTTATATACATAGACATTATTATATACTATATATGTTATAATATCCTATTATATTTACTTTCCCCAAAATCTTGATTCGTGTCCACTCATTGTAAAATAACAATACAATTTTTAAACCAAGATTTTAGTAACCATTTTATATCATCAACAAATTAATAACAAACAGAATAAGTTCTTATTGTTATTGGAATGTTACCTGGTTCGGTGAGAGTAGGTCTGTCGTTGAGGTATCTCCAGACAGAGGGGTGAGGTGAAGGAGGCGCGGGTGTCGGTGACTGATCAGTGGTGAGCCGTCTGCTAGCTAACTGCGTACTAACGTGCTTACTCAACAGGGCGCACTTTTCAAAATTCACGCGATTACCGGACAACCTTATAAATATAAGAACACAAGTCAATAGCTTATTAAATCCAATATGTAAAAGTAATCGTGTAAATTAGTTTGTATCCATGCGCCGATCACTTCGTTTGGCCAGTTGAAATTTCTGGTCTCTATGGGATATATTCTATCACAGTACTATCGATGTCTAATAATTATTTAAAATTATTTTACGGCTTTCAGAATGTTTTATAGAGTTGATTTGAATCGATTGTGCGTTTCGATTAGAATGCGAACCATTATTTCAATGCGATTTTAAACTTGAACTTCAACGTATGCGAAGGCATTCGCGGTGGTGCATTTATGGACTATGATGGTCAATTAAACCATCGCCTTTTCTACACATATAAACTACAGGCAACTAAATTTGGCAGTACAACATAAAATAGATGATATTCATAATGATATAAAGCAGGTTTAATAAATAAATAAAACTGTAGTTTTAGAAACTTCCCAAATGAAATAAAATGAAAATTATTAACGTGAGATTTAATAATGTCTACGGCTCTCGACAACCGTAAAAAGTACTAGATTTAAATAAGTTAAATCGACTACTAAAAATATCACAATTCGTAAAATAAATAATATAGTTTATATAGTTATTGACGATTCAGGGGCATTCATTAAAGATAGATGAATAAATAATTATGGAAAAGCGGTACGAAAAAAAAAGAAGAAAAAACTGACCTGGAAGGGGATCCCTGATTAGCAAAATGCAAGTCTCTACACGTAACAGAAAGCAACGGCACGGCTGTTTCAGTAGGAGCAGCCGCCAGGGCCGCACGATATCTGCGGTAAATGAACCTGTTTTCTTATCGAGTATATTATATTTAGCTTCAGACTTTTTGGCGGGAACGCGGGGAGTGAAGTTGTGTGATTTGTTTTATTTTGTCTATTTAGTGTTTCTTCAGGTTTAAATGTATAATAACGGTGGTTTATTAACTGTTTAATATCTGTGTAAGTGTACAAATGTGGGAAAATGAAACAAAACCACTGGACGTAACTTCTCGGGATCCTACAAGAAGTCCTCTGCAAAAATCTCAGTAAGTGACCACCAGTTTACTGACATTATATTTCATCCCATATCATCTCATCTCATTTCATTACATTTCACTCCATATTATGATTTTTCATAAAAATAAGAATATAAATTAAAATAAGACATGACCTAAAAAGGCCTTAATTACCAGGTCATAAAATCCCTTTAAAAAAAAGCTTCATGTTCATATTAATCTATATATTACGTAAAACAAAAACTTTGTACCTCTTTTTACGAAAATTGCGCGGACGGAGAAGTATGAAATTTCCCACACTTATCGAGAATATAGGGAAGGAGTGCAGAATGCTAATATATTTTTAAAGTTATGCATTAATAATACATTAAATGAATAAAAAAACATTACACACACTACCATGTATTTGACAAACATACATACTTATATATATTCTTTGTTTATTGTCAAACTTTTGTTATTGCTTAAAATCTGTGGTCAAATTGAGAATAGGTTAATATTGTTTATCTTTAATATTATTTGTCGAAAAAAGTTTGCCTACAGAACATAAAATGAATATAAAAAAGAAAACTACGTGAAAACTACGTTCATTATAGTCAAATTTCGACTACTGCGGAACCACTAGTATAATTAATGACACTTATTGTATTTGTCAATCGCGGCAAGGTGTTTAATGTTTTTTATTCGCACAGTGTGTATTATGCATAAATAGTGAACTCTTAAGGTACGAGTATGTATATGTATGATCGCAAAATATTTTCAATAGCAATATTCAAAGTCGGTGTGACTAAATGAGATTACGCGGGGAAATTAAAAATGCTAAAATGAACCACAAAATACGATAATATTTGACGAAAATCGAAAACTCAATGTGTCAAATCTACAAAAAACTTTTTTTTAATATTACTCAAAATATTATTTTCAAATTTTTACAGACAGTTAACCTAATTAACCTAATCTATACTACTAATTATATATAAAGAGGAAAGATTTGTTTGTTTGTTTGTTTCGAATAGGCTCCGAAACTACTGGACCGATTTGAAAAATTATTTTTCCATTAGAAGCCGATATTGTCCCTGATGATTATTTTTTTTGGTTTCATGTGTGTTTTAATGTTTCCGAAGAGAAGCGAGGGCGGGTCGCTAGTTTCAAATATTTTTACTGGTACTAAGGCGTGTTGTAAGCCCACATGGGCACTAAATTTTAATAAACAAAATTTGTAATAAACCAAAAAATGTAATAAAGATGCATGGATTCCACATAAAATCGCATTTATAGTCCACTACTCATATTATGTCCTGTGTGGTTATTGCGAGGTTTTTAGCTTCTCAATCGCATAAAAGTTAACTCAAATTTGTATGAAGTTGGAACAGCTTGCCTCCATGCAAGTTTGAGTTAAGTTTTACGCGATCGAGAAGTTAAATAGCTCGAATTTGTATTGAGTTGGAAAAGCTTCCCTCCCTACATATAAATTTGTGTTAACTTTTACGCGATCGAGAAGTTAAATAGCTCGAATTTGTATGGAGTTGGAAAAGCTTCCCCCTCCATACAAATTTGTGTTAAATTTTACGCGATCGAGAAGTTAAAAAATTTGAATTTGTATGGGGTTAGAACAGCTTCCCTTCATACAAATTTCAGTAACTTTTACGCGATCGAGAAGTTAAAAAACTCGCACTAAGTACACAAGTGCTATCACCGGTGGGAATAGTCCCACACTCCATTAGATATAAGGTCGAAATGTTAATTCTATTTTAATTAAGACTTGAGATACCGTCGTATTCGCTTAACGCTGAATGGGTGAGCTTTGCCTAATAGTTTTTCGAATCGACAAAAATAGTAAAACAATTTAGGAATTTAGATTACTTTTCAGAATTTGGTCCTATTTAGATAGATAGAGAGATAGATTAGGTTAACATTATGGAGTTTTGTTTGAAAGTAAGCGGATACTATAGGTAATAGGAGATATGGATTAAAAAAAATCTAAAGCTCCATTTCGTTTTTCTGTAAATGAATTATGTGATTTCCATAAACATTTATCGATAGACTTCGTATTTTCGGATTTCGTACTTCGCCCACATTTAAAAAATTCGCCATATGTACATTATTTAAATTAAAAGTTCCCCAAACCAAAACGATTTTAATATTTTTTTTATATTATGATATTATGATTGAATAAAATTTTTGAAATTTTTTGATATTATGATTAACATTATTTTATTATTATTATTTGTATAAATATAATATCCAGTAGATAAATATGACTTTATTGTGATTTGACAATAAATAAAATGGAAGTAAATAAAAGTTTACTGATTAGACGCAAATTTCTCTTCAACTTTATTTGAGGCCGTCGACGCAAAAGTGGAATAAGCTTATCATAGTTAGTATGGAGATATCGAGGTTTGAATTTAATTTTACCCTGCTTCGTAGGCAATAATAATATGCCCGAAAACAATACTTCCAAAGCCATCTCTTATTTACCGCTGAAACTAAGTATAGGCCGTTTTTGCGTCAACATTTATTTTGTTTCAAATAAATTGCAATTTAGAAGCACCAATTTTGAAAATGTGGGTTAGGCCATTTTTACGCTGATGGCCTTAATTTTGATAGCTACTCTAAGCCAATGCTTATTAGTAGATTAACAACTAGCATTTATGATCATTTTTACAAGGAAGACAACTATTTCAATTATTGTATAGAGATATTTTTGATTTAATAACTGAGATTGAAAGGTTTTACACATTTCGCATTGCAAACGTATCAAGCAAAGCCAAACAATACGTACCGCGCATGATTTCCTGTAGGTTCAACGCACAATTCGAGCTGCCTCAACTGTTGACCGCAAACCGCTGACGTTCGACTCCACTGAAACATAAATGTTATATTGTTCTCTCGCTTAACATCTATCATACATATTTTGAAGTCGTCGTGGCCTAGAGGATAAGACGTCCGGTGCATTCGTGTTGAGCGATGCACCGGTGTTCGAATCCCACAGGCGGGTACCAATTTTTCTAATGAAATACGTACTCAACAAATGTTCACGATTGACTTTTACGGTGAAGGAATAAACATCGTGTAATAAAAATCAAACCCGCAAATTTTAATTTGCGTATTTAGTGGTAGTAGGAACTCTTGTGAGTCCGCACAGGTAGGTACAACCGCTCTGTCTATTTCTGCCGTGAAGCAGTAATGCGTTTCGGTTTGAAGGGTGGAGCAGCCGTTGTAACTATACTTGAAACCTTAGAACTTATATCTCAAAGTGGGTGGCGCATTTACGTCGTAGATGTCTATGGGCTCCAGTAATCACTTAACACCAGGTGGGCTGTGAGCTCGTCCACCCATCTAAGCAATAAAAAAAGACGTAGTTCACTTAACGCTTATACACTTACGGTTTTTTTCAATCTCATGACCGGAGACATGTTCAGTGCACTGATTATGGCCATGAGAGAATTAAAGTTGCCAAGATTAAAACATTCTCTTCCAGTCATCACCCACTGTTCAATCACCCGAGCTCTGTATTTACTCTTCACTCCCTATAAAATAGAGGTATTCTATCAAACCGAGTGTTTTGAAATTTGATGAGTAAATTATCGTGAAAATACGCGCGGGAAATCAAAACATTACCTTCAATATATCCGTTGCAACTAAATAACTCAGCCTGTTGAACCAATCGGCGTACGCTTCTAGATTTCTCGTGCACTTAGTATCGATATGATGTAGGCTTATAGAAGTTTTACAGGCAGACGTGGACTGCGGTGGATGGATTGGAGCAAATGTCTGAACGAATTCTTCGGGACCGACAAACGATAGTCTGTGCAACTCCACTATGGTAAGTTGATTGGCCAGCTCGACAGGGGTTAGACCGAGTGTCAGGATGTCGCCCTTAAAATGTTACAACGTTATTATGTTTCTTTATTAAGACAATTTAAAATGCACCAATTGATTTAGAACAGGATTTTATTGTTCTAAAAGGGCCCTACCGCTGCTATGTATTTACCGGAGCCTGTAGACATCCACATGAATTACAACGCAACGTGAATGCAGTCATCTACGTTAAAACATAAAGTCTAAATCTCAATGTATACAATACATTGTCTCACCCTTCATATCGAAATAAACTCGTTATTCGTCATAACCTAGTCGTAATAAGCAAACTTTAGTGTCATAATTATTAATATGTATTCATTAAAGAAATCGAATACAAAATTCTTTATTTTATATCGGATCTTGGGTAACATAGTCGTTTAACGTCATTAGTAGTGGTTTAAGCTCTTGTTCCATAAAGATCCACAATCCAAACTCAACAAACTCAGGCGAGCTTGTCTTTGTTTAAACACACTTAAATGTTGACCTATATCTATCTATGTATCGAAACCTTTTACCGACACTTTCAATAACCATAAGACATCCGATTTACTTGAAGAATAGCACACGTATCAAGAGCCGATAACAGTACAATCATTTTGTTACTATTGCCTGGTACATTGACCAGGATCGTCAGACTTAAAAAAATGATTATATAAATTTTTATATCGACTTGCTATTTCATTTTTAATTGATTAGGTACTAACTAGCCAAAATGAACAAATACATACAATAAAAGGATGCAAATGATCATAAATTTCAAGGACCATAATAAAATCATAATTGTATGAAGACTAAATAATTACAATGAATGGAAATAATGAATTGAACGTTTCAAGAAAAAAAGTTTCGTTATAAATTGCATTCGCCGCGAAAACAAATACACTTACTCATATTCTGGCCACGAGTAATGCTGGGATCGGTATTCATTATTGGAATATGACACAGCATAAATTCTTTGATGAATATGATACGTTTCATATGATACTTGTTAACAAAGCTATTTTTTTAATGCATATACGAGTGAATGAGTTGTCAAGTGTAAGTTATATCTACAAACTTAATGCCGCTAGCAACATTGTAAATTATAACTTGCGTAATTACTGGTGGTAGGACGTCTTGTGAGTCCGCACGGGTAGGTACCACCACCCCGCCTATTTCTGCCGTGAAGCAATAATGCGTTTTTGGCAAACCCTATTTAGTTTACACAGCACTAAACATTCCTATCACTCATATACCAATATTGATTACAACGCAATAAATGAAAATAGCTACAGCAATCTATTTTGATACTATGATTTATCACCTGAGACAGCTGATCCAGTGAAGACACTTGAGTTATATCCACTAGTGACTCTTCATACTGTTCTAAAGCTGTTAGTTTGTCGAGTAATTTCTCTAAAGTTGTTGACATTTCAACTCGAACTGATTCCATATGTTCTGCTGCACATCTATAGAATACAACACAATTCAAAACATATATTATACTTATATATCGCTCAACCTAACCACCAACTCAAACTTAAATATGAGTTGATGAGAATATACAATATGAAAACTGTACCTTTGTGTAATACTACGAACCAGGGCCATTACTCTATCATCACGAAAATCATAAGGAAACATGCTTGTCCACTGACGGAGCACTCTCACAAGAGCTATCATGTCATTCAATTCTTTTTCGACTAAATCTTTGACTTCTGCCTTTCCCTGAATAAAATTATGAAAATATATAAAAAATCATACAAAATATATGGAGGGGTGAAACTTGTGGGTTAAGCGACATTTCGCTTAATACATGACATTTTCACCTCTCAATATAATCTTTGTTCACATGTAATTGAAATAAACATACTCACTACTTTGTCATAGTTTCTGAAATATAGTTTACAAAGTTTGCTGAGTAATTCATGAGGTTTTAGGTAGAGTCGAGAACATAGTAAAAATGTAAACGTGAAAGATTTGCTTGCCCCAGGACGAAGCATTTCCACCAGTGTATCTAATGTGGCGCTCACAATTTGACCATCTCTATATTCTATGTCTGATTTTTCAGTAGTGCAATTTGTGTAGGGATGATTTGGAATAGCCTTTACACCAGGAGTAAGAACTGTAGACAACTGGACAAAACAAAAAGTTATTTCAATTTAAATTTATACTAAGTTATGGCAAGTATTTTGCACTTTTATCGAATGGAACATACCTGTGGACCTTCAACTTTTTGAGTAGCTACAAAATTAATGCCACCATTCATTACTATGTGCTTACATGAGTTTTCAGACATAAACTTATTACCTCTCACCATTGAGTAATAATCGTCATTCTGAAAATAATAGTTTGTTGAGACATTATGTTCAATCCTCCTAAAATTAGGAAGGTATTAAACAAATAAAATTGATTATTTTTATACAAAGATTATAAATTATTGTTTCAAAGTGAGCTTAGTTGTCTTTTAAATGAAAAATATTAAAAAAAATTAAGCATGCTGGAATATATCTAAAGGTTTAAAATTAAGTGATACATTTTACCTTGTCTATAAAAAAAAAAATTCCATAGTGAAATGAAATGTTCTGTGTATTGCTTATAGTTAAATAACTGAGCAATCTTCTTTTACTAGAGCTATTAAAATGGTTACATATATTTCATATTTCTTAATCACAATAACTGCTAGGTGTAAATTGAAAATGTTATTAATATATTAAACAGCAATTTTAGAGAATTATTTTGTATCTCAGTCTTTGAAATGAATATTATATATAATACTTGAAGACCCCAACAGCGTTAAATTCCTAATTTATCACAGTTTTGTGTTTATAATAACATATACACCCAGTGTGGACTGGATCATGTTATTTTTTATTATGGAAACTGTCTTGATATCACAGGCCATAAACTATCTTTGTGTAAATTTCATTCAAATCGAATTAGCCATTTTATAGTGGTTGAATTACAATCATACAATTATTTATAAAGTGTTAATGTATAATACACACATTTGTTGTTTTAATATGATTTTTTTTTAAATTGTTATTTGTAACAGGTAAATTTCAATAAAAAAATATTAATAACGATCATATTTTCTGACAAACAATAGCTGATTAATGAGACATCAAAATATTATTGATTCGTTAATTTTAATCATCTATATGTAATTATTACTGAACCACAATACTACTATTATTCATTTCAGAAATAACTTACATCATAGTATGAAAGTCCAGTGCCGTGTAATAAAGTTGGGTCAGAAGTTAGAGAAGCATGATTACTGGATGTTGGGGGAACTGGTGCTGGCTCCGTTGGTGCTGGGGGCACTTTTATATTGCAACCACTACATGAAGCTTCATTCAGTTTACTGGCGTAATAATACATCGCCATTCAATTCCTTGATGGTAGCTAATACTATGAGCTTCTTATGAAGCATATACTGAGGGTTTATGTTGAGGAGTCCATTGAATCTGTGGAACACCATTGTTTTTTATATCTACTTTGTATGGTATATTAGAGGAATTAATTCACAAGAAAAAACATTGTGGATAGGCAAAACAATGTTGATGAGAAGATAAAAGCAATAAAAAAGGAAAAAAATGCTGTGATTGCTCAACAAATGGCTTTCATCAATCTGAGCTTGGTCTAAAAATTTTTTTTTAAGATTTCATATATTTATTTTTATCCTTTCTGTTACATCCAATTATTAGATTGTAATTCTCAAATTTTATGTTTTGGTCAACTGTTCAGAAGAAGGCAATTAATAATTAAATCTATCAATACATGTCCAGAAGGGTTTCAATTCCTTTTCTTATTTTCTTTTATTTTTATATTGAATATTTAAAGAAGTTAGTGAAGCGTTTATACACAGTTTGGAACAAATGTTTATTTCAAAAAATATTTTCATTCAGTGTATTTTAACCGAATGAAAATTGAATGATGTGACCATTTATTATTTATAAATAACGATCTATTGTTGTAGCAGAATGATTCTCATAGTTAGTTTTTACTGTTGTAAAAACTTGAATGAAACTGAAGGCTAGTTTCATTCAAGTTTTTGTAGAAATGTAACATATAGAAAGACGCCTAAGTGAAAGTTATCACAATGTTCACGGTTTTACCTTAATTTGCATGGGATTACAGAAATAACTTCAAGTATGTATTATGTCATAGTAAGTGGCAGAATTTCTCTCGAGAAAAAACGAGGTAACTTTATGATAAAATCCCTAAAATTAAAATACAAAACAGCGCGAATACGCACTGACACTGTATACCTACCTACCTAGGTAATAGTCGTTTTTTTAAGTTTTACGGTCTGGTAACAAGACTTTTAAGCCAAATCTTAGTTCATCTTAAATTTTGATCTTATGTGAAAAATGATATGAAGTAAATGTGATAAAATAGATTAATTTGAGACTTTAATCAATTGGAATGAGATTAAATGAAACCAGATGAAATGGGATGGAGATAGATGGAAATGATGGTTGGAATTTATTCAAATTTTTTGAGTAGATTTTGTGGAAGAATACGAGAATTGCTTCATTTTCCGATATTTGTACACTTTTATAAATGGTAATTGGACCGTAAACTACCGTTATTACACATTTAAATCTGAAGAAGCATTTAACTATTAAAATAAAACAAATCACACAACTTTGCTCCTCTCATTTTCGCCAAAAATCCCCAAGTACAATTTTAGCTTTAAGCGTCCTATAGACTACACTGCACTCTACAAGTACTGATTAAATTTTCTAGTTTCATTTTAGTCGATTAAATTGTTGGTCATGCAGGATATTCCAATCATAAGGGCGTGGTCATTTTGTACTGCTGTGTCTATGTGTAGAACCACAGCTTCCGATCAATAGTATTCATTTATGAGTTCTGTGAAAGAGCGAGCGAAATAGAAAACCATAGTGGCGGCATATTTAAAAATATTTTTCTCACAAAGCCTGATAAATTTTATTAAAATAGATAACAGTGAATATATCATGCAGAGAAATTTCAGAATGCAGTTAATAAAATATCTTTGAAATATATGAAGTAGGTAATTTAGTAAAATCAGATTTCATACAGTAATTTTTTTGTAATTTTATTTATATTTTCTAAATTTTGAAAAATTACACAGTGTACTTTGTAGTTTATAATTATTTTTTTCCTATTATTGTACTATATCCTACGAATAAATAATAAGTCTTATTATTTATTCGTAGACTTTATCTTAGCCGAATTAACCATAACTAAGAAAATTCACTGCTACTTAATATAGTTTTTAAATTATAATGTAACCATGGAAACAGACAAATGACTGTTAGCTTCTGACATACGTTTCAGCGTGTAGCTAATATTTAAAACATATTTTTATGTAACAAATAAAATGAATGAGGAAGTAAAACATAGAGGAACTTCTACAACCTTGCCTGCAATAGAAGTATTGCAAAGAAATGTTCGAAAAGTGCCAACTTTTTATATTCGGTAAATTAATTCACGTTTATCACAATTCCACTCATTGCTACCTTTTCTTTGAAATTTAAAAAAATATAGTTGAGAATTATTAATGTTACGGTATCAGGGATGTGGTGTGTGCGCTTTGTCGCAGCGGTCGGCGGACAACTGTGGCCGCGGACAGATCGCGGCTAGAGACTACACACTACTTATATAATGTTCTTGTACCGCTGTGACTACGAGGTATATAGGTACCTCAGACCTGCGTTGGCGTGGCTTGTTCCAGTTTGATGTCACCTAGAATGAACAATGTTGTATACTGACATTTAAAAACTTAACATTACGCGGCTTAGTTTGACGCGGTTTGACCCGAATTATTGACTTCATTATTAATTTGAAAATTACAATGACCTGCTAAAGCTAGCTTCTCACGGTTCCTCGCTATTTCAATTGTTTTCACATATTTAATCAAAGTAGATATTTAACGTTTTTGTTTCAACTCCAGAAAACCTCGAGAAATACCATTTCATTTACCTCACAAAAAATTACTTGAAAAAATTGAACATGTACAAAAGGAACCTGAACCATTGGTAATGGACTATTTCTATACTATAAAATTTTATTGTATTTCATATTATTATTTTTAAAATTCGTTCTATTGCTCAATACAGACAGGATTCAAAGCTGCACAAGATGACAGATACCGCAGAGAAAGAAAACCAGTAAAATTGGAGCCACTCAAATTGGAGGATGGGACATGTGAGTGATTCGATATATTGGTCGGCCGTTCAAAATTAAGCCGATAGAAAATATATTATAAAAAGAGTAATTTATGATCTTTTTAAAAAAAAATCCAACACCCGTGGTAAGCGTACCCCTGGGTGTACGCGGAGTCCCATAGTGATATTTATAATGGCGAAAATACTGAGAAGTTAAAAGTTAACTTATACAAACATTATTATAATGTATTGAATCTACAATATACAGTTTTAAATGGACCTTATAATTAATAACTTGATAAATTGCAAACTCTACGAGCATTGGGTTGGTAAAATACAGTACATTCACTTATATACCGCGTGACTAAATTTATGTAGGATGATAGAAACGAAATGCGTTTTAGGAGAGTAAGTATGGAGTTCTCAGGTAATGGGTACTCATAATTGAAAAGTTTTGTTATAGGGTACGAGAAATAAAAATTGAGAACCACTGATCTATATAATATTCAGCTAAAGTTAAAATTGGGTTAAAAGTTAAATATGAGCTAGCTGAAACCTAAGTACCTATGAGCAGAATATGTTTGCCGTTGCCGAAACTTTTATGTAATGCAACAACTGGCTATAAATCGAAAAAGTAGTTCTACATGTATAAAATTTTACTTATTTATCACTAAACTAGCTGACCCGGCAGACTTCGTAGTGCCTCAATCGATAAATAAAAGATAGAAGATTTATCTATCTTTTAAACCTTCTCTGGACTTCCACAAATAATTCAAGACCAAAATTAGCCAAATCGAACCAACCGTTCTCGAGTTTTAGCGAGACTAATGAACAGCAATTCATTTTTAAATATATAGATTGCGAATCCTAAATGAAGTTTAAAAAAGTCTTAATTCACTTTAAGCCAATGTTAAAGAAAAAAAGAAACGTGCTCTAAAAATCCGCGAGTCACGAGACAGCGTGGAAATAAGTAAGGAGTGCACAACCGATCCTTTGAAGGTGAAACCTGTCGTGGCGTCACAGAAGGAAGTGATCGATTACGTGAGAGCGAACCCGTCCTGTGGCTTCCTTTATATGATATACGCCGTGCACCCGGAGAACGTTTATTTTACGCCCTACTATCTAAAGTTGGTTCATTAAATTAATTTATTATCTATACTTAGATATATCTTAAAAATCTAAGGATTATTTTCAAGAGAATACCTGCTTTACCTATGCATGATCAATAATATCTACGGGTATCATGTTTGCAAGGAAATTGAAGATGAGCAAAAAAAAAAGTAGCTTCAACTAGATTCTATTACTAGTAAAATAAAAAATAAAGTGCGCTCAAATTTTATATATCCTATGTTTTACATAAAAAATAATTATTTCTAGGCCTTTTTTCATAATATTAGATGGTCGAGCGAGCTTTCGGCTCATCCAAAGTAAAGTGACTACCTTGAGCCCACAGACATCAAAACGTGAATGCTACCTACCCACTTTGAGATGCGAAGGCTTGATTGTATTTCATAACAGTACTTAGTCCAACCCTTAGATTTACTATACAATCACTATACTTAGACTACCTATTTAAAATAAAATATACCACAAAAGAAATATTATTACTATTTTTATTGAATTCGTCAAATTTAGCTTTTCCTCTATCAAGCTATTTAAAAACTTTTCTTCAAATATTAACATTGGAGTATAAAAACTGTTTTCATTCAGAGTGGTAACTTACGAAGAAATCGATAAGAAGAATTATCTAACTATTAGTCCCTGCGGCGTAACGCATTATACCAACGAAATGGTCTTCACAAAATTGCCGGCTTGGGAACAGGAATACACCATTTTCGTAAAACTAACTGATGTAAGTACCAAGTATGAAGCTAAGAAACATAATAAAAGATAAGAGAAATTTTAACAGACTTCTACAGAAAAAAAAACCGATTTGAACATCACCCTATACTAATGAATGCTATCAAAAAACAATGTAGAATTGTGTGTGTGTGTGTTTCAGCGTTTTATTAAAACGAGATGCAATGAAAGTTCTTTAAAATCGTAGCAGAAATATAGATGTATTTTAACTTTATAGCGCGTACCAAATCGATGGCAAACATTCGCTTTAATTATTTTGGTGACGATAAACCTTTTTGTTTTGGAGAATTCGAATTTTCTTGTAGGTACCATATTTTACTAAGCTGCTTTCCTTACATTTAACGAGTTTGTAGTTGTTCAGTAAACACACACACGGTAGAGTGGTTACCTACACGGAAATCTCATTTCGTTAGTGCAGCGCGCATGGGTCAAGTCTAGCCTGAAAGTAGGGTAAGTGCATCACGCTGCATAATTTTGCATGTCATATCGCTACCACAGCGTGGAACCAAAACGAATCTACTTTGTTTTCTTACAGTTTTACATTTTATTTTTATGCTGTTCGTGTATTTTCACAGAAATTTTATATACTTTTACAAATTAGATGAGGGCATCCCTAATTCTTTATATGTAGTGATTTATGAAATTAGTGACCAAAGAAGCTTGTGAAAGCTGTTTTTTTTAAGAAAGATGGTTACTGGTGGTGCATAGGCTAAGCGCGCACTGCGATTAAAGTTCGGTGCGAAAAAATATCGCAAGTCTGTGAACAATAACACTACAATCCGCTCTCTGTGAAAATAAATCGTTTACGATTTAAAATGGCAGATACGAAATCGTATGTATATTTTGTACCGTATGAAGTGATATCAAATCCCGTGCATCGCGAAAAAATAAAAAATTTTCAAATTTGTTACGTAAAATCAGGTAGGTACCATCATATAATGGTAACTTTCTTTTGTAAATCCATATTAGAAATATGTATTTACAAAAGTATATACTCTCCCGTCTTTCAAAAGAATTTACAAAGGATTTACAAAAGTGTACACTCTCCCGTCTTTCGTGGTGGTGGTAATTACTGCAATAACTGTCTCCGCTATTCCACAAGCGACAATAAATCGTAGTGCGCGTAGGAACTATTGTCGTTTGCGATATTATTTCGCACTTTAAAAATCGCAACGAATAAAAATCGTAGTGCGCGCTTAGCCTTAGGCCTTT